TAAGGGCACCAGTAGTAATCCTAGATGGCCTCACCAACCCTAGTGGCCTCATTTTAAGTTAACCATCTTTTTAAATAACTAGTTCTGAGGTACTGGAGATAGGGGCTTCAACATATAAGATGGCAGGAAGATATACGAAGTCACTTAACATGTTACTCTATGCCTTTTCTTTTTTTCTTTTTCTTTTTTTTTTTTTTTTTTTTAGTACTGATGATTTAACCAGGAGTGCTTTAACAAGGAGCTAAGTCCCCAGCCTTTTTTTGAGACAGGATCTCACTAGGTTGTTGAGGCTGGCTTTGAACTTGTGATCCTCCTGCCTCAGCCTCCTGAGTTACTGGGATTGCAGTCTGTACCACAAACAGGTATTTTTTTCATTTTTTTGCAAAAATATTTTGTAAATAGTAATAATATGGAATGTATAAATCAAGAAGCACATTATTTTTGGTGATTTCACTTCTACTATTATTAAGATTGAAAAGATGTTGCAAGCCTGATCCACTCTAAAGTAGATCAGTATAAAGTTCTCTTTCAACTTTTCACCTGAACAGTTATTAAGCAACAATAAGGATAATTTCTCAGAAGCATTATTTTTTCACAGGTTGTAAAATAGCAATATTCTACTATCCATCCTTCATTTATTCACTCAAAATTTTCTAGGTAAAAAGAAATTTCCAACCAAGCACAGTGATGCACACCTGTAATTCCAGCAATTCGGGAGGCTGAGGCAGGAGAATCATAGGTTCGAGGCCAGTCTCAGCAACTTAGGGAGGCCCTCAGCAATTTAGCAAGAACTTGTCTCAAAAAAAGAAAAAGAAAAAAAGAAAGAAAGAAATTTAAAGGAACTGGGGATGTAATTTGGTGGTAAAGTACCCCTGGGTTCAATCTCCAGTACCAAAAAAGGAAAAAAAAAATCCCTTATTAACAATTTAACTACTTTTAATTTAAGCTTGTGTGGGAAAACAGGAAATTTTATTTTTGTTTCTTTTAAAAACTCTATCAATTTTAGAATGATTGGTTGCTAACCTAGCAATCTTCAATGTGACCAGAGAGGTTTTTTCATAAAGCATTATTAAAAACTCATATATCTTGAATACGTTTGATGTGTTTTAATCCTATTTAGTCAAAATAGTTTTGATCTCTAGATGTTCCAATTGTCCCTTCTTTTGCCAGCAGGGGTCTTTTCTAGTTGGACACTATACCATGGCCTATAGAAATACACATATAAATGTGACACATACACACAAAGCCAGAGGATTAAGAACAAAAACTCATCTTCTCTCAAAGACCACACCTAGCTGGTGGATGTACTTTCATCCACTCACATTCTATTGACTAAAGCAAGTCACAGAGCCAGAGGCAAAGTTACTAGGGTGGGGAAGTATTCTCTACCCACAGGAAGCCATAGGAAGTGTGGAAACCACACTGGGTATGGTCATTTTGTATATTAATTGTGATAGGCTATTATACTCATTTAACAAATGATGTCATGAAGGTATTTTGTAGACATGTTAAGTTGACTAAGAAGATTACTCTCAATGATATGGATGGACCTCATTCCATCAGGTGAAATTCTTAATGGTAAAACCTGAGGTTTCTGGGAAAGTTCTGCCTCAAGACTGTAGTGCCAACTCTGGCCTGAGTTTCCTGCCTCCTTATGGATTTCAGACCTTCTAGCTTCCATATTATATAAACTAAACCCTTAAATCAAAGAATGGCTTTAGGTATAGAAATTAAGCAAGGAAAAAACCAAACCAACAAAACAACAAGTATCCAAATGGTAAGGAAGACATAAAACTATCCCAAGTCACAGATTCCACCACCCTATGTATACACACACAAACACATTAGAGCTAACAAGTGAATTTAGCAGATTTCCAGATACAACAATAGCATTCAAAATTCAGTTGTGTTTCTGTATACCAGCAATGAACAATGCAGAAAGGAAATTAAGAAATGATTCATTCATAATAACATTTGCAATGGACTAAAATTGTATCTTGTCAAAAATTGTATGTTGAAGCCAAAACCACCAGTGTTACTATGTTTAGAGACAGGGAAGGTCTATAAGGAGGCAGTCAAGGTTAAATGAGGTCATAAGGATGGGTCTCTGACTCCTTGATAGTGTCTTTATAAGAAGATAAAATGCTGTGCACAACTGTCTTCACAGCCACTCAGGAGGCTAAGGCAGGTGGATTGCAAGTTTGAGGCCAGCAGAGGCAACTTAGGGAGACCCATCTCAAACTAAAAAAATAACAAGGACTGGAGCTGTAGCTCAGTGGTAGAGAGCCCTTGGATTCGATCCTCAGTAAACTAACTAACTGAATAAATAAATAATTGTACACCAAAGGACATTATCAAGAAAGTGTGGCACATGCCTATAATTCCAGTGGCTTGGAAGACTGAGGTAGGAGGATAATAAGTCTGAGACCAGCCTTAGAAACTTAGCAAGGCCCTAAGCAACTTAGTAAGATCCTGTCTCAAAATAAAAAATAAAAAAGGTCTGGGTATGTGGCTCAGTGATTTTGTGCTCCTGGGTTCAATCCCTGGTAGCAAATACAACAACAACAACAAAAGTGAGAAGACAACCTACAGAATGAGAAAAAGTATCTGTAAACAATAAACCTGATAAGTGTCAGTATCCAGAATCATAATTATTACCACAACCTAATAACAAAAAGATAAATAATTCAATGTTAAAAAATGGACAAAGGATGTGAATAGAGAGTTCTCTAAAGAAGATATACAAATAACTAATAAAGACATGAAAAATGTTTTTTTTTACTTTAGGGAAAGCACATCAAACCCACAATGAAATACCACTTGATACCCATTGGGACTGCTATTGTTAAAATACTGGGAAATAATAATGGTTGGCGAGGATGTGGAGGAATTGGAAACCCCTTACAATGCTGTTGGTGTGTAAAATGGCTCATCTGCTGTACAAAAGCTTATGGTCCTCCAATTATTTGAATATAGAATTAGTAAAACACCCAGAAATTCCACTGCTATGCATATGCTCAAAGGAACTGAAAACAGACTCCAACAAATACTTTTACACAAATGTTCAGAATAACTTTCTTCACAATGGCCCAAAGGTGAAAACAACCCTAAATGTTTATCAAAAACTAGATGGATAAAATATGGTTTCTACATACAGTTGGGGTTGAGTTCTGGGTCTCGTGAATTTGAAGAATAAAATACACAGACACAAAGGTGATAGCAAAGTTACAGGATTCATTAAAAACAAAGTAGAACTCCCAAAGAGGAAGGGGTCCAAAGAGGGGGATACCAAAGAGTGGCTATCATCCAGGTGTTCACTTCCATCTATAGAGTTAAAGAAGTCAGCACCACCCCACACCACCTAATCCAGGGTAAGGCAATCAGTGTTCACAAAGTATTCATGTAGCCTTTAGTCCAAACAAAATATCAATTGTAGTGGCACCCCCTTTCTCCACAGAAAAGTCTTAACTGGGCTTCTCCAGAAATCTTCACCATGGCTGATTTTAGGACTGTCAGCAAAAGAGTCTCTACAAGAGTTTAATGTAGACAAACTTCCTATTTTCGTGTTGCCCTGATTTACTTGGCCACGAGCCAGGAAGAAATCAGCATTCCAGTGCTGGACACTCCCTTACTAGTTTTTCACAAACATGTATCCAGCATACTAGTTTGTAAAATATGTAAACAAGGCCTCTGGCCTTGAGCTGGGCTTCAAAGAGATGTCTACATTTCTAAGATAAGGGAAGTTAACATTGTGGCTCCATGGTAACAGATGGCAGGGGCAGGAGAGAAGGGGAAGATGAAGCTCTCGCCTTCTCAGGTGTTGTCCTTGAAGGGTTAACCTGCCCAAAACAGTGAAAGAAAAAGCTGCTTTTATGTGAACTTTTACAGACTGTGAACTTCTGAGCCCCTCCCCTTACACGCTGGGTATTAAATTCTAAAACTACCTGAACTCAAGGCTCAGGGGATTGATTGATTGATTACAGCAAAAGCTGTGCCGTCGGAACCTGGCTGCAGCCAAATAAAACTGTTTCCTGCTATCTTCTGTGCCTTCTGTCCCTACAACACAACCATGCATTTTTCCTTCTTGGGGAGGCATGGACCCCAATCAGTATGTCCTGATTTTAAAATAGCCTTTTCATAAGTTTCTTAGCAAATATCTACAGGTGCTGTTTGTACTCTGGTGCCCAGGAAGTTACTCAGGAGCCCACTCCCTATCCTTCCTGTCTCCTCCTTCTGCCATCAATATTTGCCATAAAAAAGGAGTGAAGTACTGACATATGCTACAAGATGTACAAGGGAAACCCGGAAAAAACCCTCTGTGGAAGGACACAGAAACAAAAAAAAAATTCATATATTCCATTTATATGCAATATCCATAATCTGAAAGCTGATTGGCATTTGCCAGAGGTTGGGAGAGAAGAATCGGGTTGGATGGGTTCACGATCTATTTTGGGTCAATGAAAATATTTTGGAACTAGTTAAGAGGTACTGGTAGCACAACACTGTGAATATATTAACTGCCACTGAACTGTACGCGTTAAAATTGTTCATTTGTTGTTAATTTCACAATTAAAAAAAAGAAACATTTATTATTCAATGACCAAGTTACAATTAATTACAACACGCACTGATAATGCAGTTACTAAATTGTGCAATCCATCTCTGGAATGATTTTTCAAAAAAGCATGGAATTCATTGGACTTAATATTCCTAGGAAGATTGTACGGTTGTACAGAGTGTGCTATAAGGCTGTCAGGCGAAAAAGATAATTGGCTCTAGAAATTCAACAGGGTCTCTCTCCCGTCCCCACAAATAACTGCGCTTGCCCAGCCCATTTTGTAGAAGCCGGAAACTGGGCCTGAAAGAATGCTCAAGGGCACTGGCCCCCGCGTGGCTCCGGAACCTGAAGTTCCCGGCCTGGTGGGAATCTGTACACTGCTGCACTTCTAGCCAGGTCTATGTCTTCCGGTCGCGGCCCCGCCTCCCAACCTCACCTCTTCCGCCGGCTCACCGTGCCAGTCGGAAGTGCGGCCTCCTGAACCGGCGGTTGGCTGGGTAGCGGCTGAGCGCCGCTGAAGCTGTGGGTGGGCGTTGGAGCCCAGTGTGGAGGCCCGGCGCAGCCGCGACTGGCTAAAGTGGGTGGTGGCAGGTAGGTGGGCGGGTCTGTGGTGGGCAGGTGGATAAGTTATTTTCGCGAGATCCCAGTTGGGTCAGAGGTGAGGAAGCCGCTTAGTGGGAGGCTTTCCGGATCCCGCGGGAAGAAGGTACTGTCCTCAGTGACCTGGCAGTCCCGGATACGGGCCAACCTTTCCGGAGGACCCCACCCTTGCGTTTTGTGGTGCTGCTAAGCCGCGGTTTTGATTTTAGTTCGTCTTTTGAGTTGCAGTTACAGGTATTTTCTGAAAAACTCACAAGAATTTTGCGTAGCTCTTGATCGGGAATGGGTTTCTTGGTGTCCATATTGAAAAAAGGCGTCGTGCCACCGTGGAGTTGGCGTTTTGCGGGTAAAGCCTAAGTTGTTACGGAAGTTGAGTTGGGAGAGACCCAAGTCTATCAGAGAAATAGGTGGAATTGATAGCGATATTTTGAAGCAAATTAATGAATTATTGGACCTTGCCATAGTTACTAGGCGTTCAGAAATGAACTTGCACAATAGTTGCCTCTGAAAGCCATGTCCCTTAGCCACTGTTTAATGGGGGTACATCAAAGTCTCTAGTGGGACTCGAAATATGCAGTGATTTGCAAAGATTTTCGGAATTAGATTGAGTACAGTGTACTTTGGTTGGTCACCGTGATGTAAAGTTCGATCAAAATTAAAATTATATTATTAGTCTGAGTAAAATCAATTTTTTATTTTAAATGCTTTGCCTGAAAAAAAAATCTAAAAAAAAATGAGAGTTGATTTGAACGGTGTGAAGGTTGTAATGTTAAAAGGTAAAATTAAAAATTGTGAAGGCTGAATTCCAGTCTAAGTCTGTGATCTTGAGAAAGTCATTAGTTCTGGGTGCCTTTTCTGTAAAATGGAGGTGTTGATAATGATTATAACAGTTTTCTCATCTATAGGCAGTTTGCTTTCTAAGAGATATACAGTTATTTGTTGGTTTGTGCAAATACTTAAAGTTACCCACCCCCCAATTTAGTAATAACAGATCTTACTATCACATTTTGTCTGTGAGTATAATGTATATTCATCTCTATTTAGTGACTGGAATTTTTTCACCTTAACCCAATTTCAGCTTAAACCTTCTATGAGCTATTTGAAGGTAGAACTAATGTCATTCTTATTTTTAAATGATTGTTCCTGGTATCTGTACAGTGCTTGTGATGTATTGTTAGCTAAGCTCCCATCCCCACCTCCTTTTTCTTGTTTTCTTTTTTTCAGTTTTTTCTTTAACCTGAATTTGCTAAAGCCTAAGCTTTGGGGTTTACCAAAAAAAAAAAAATAGTTCGTAAAATTATTTACATGTTACCAGAAGTTGTCCTTTAGCTCAGCAACATACATGCAGCAGTAGTTACATGGGTTAGATGAAGAATTAGACTAAGCTTTATTTATCATCACTCTGAGAGCAAACCTGAACCATCTCTGTGGTAGGCAGAGAAGTTACAGCAATGGGCTTCAACACTGGCATTCCCTTTCAATCACTTAGGGGAACTCAAAGGACTGACCCTTGGAGCCCACTCTAGACCAACTAATCAGAATTGGGGAGATAGGGCATGGGCATCCTATTTAAAGCTCAACAGCTTACTCCACTTTGCAATCTGGATGAGAACCCCTTATTAGAGGAAATAGGTCCTTTAGGAGTCTAAATAGGCCAGAGGGATTGGAGCTCCATCTGAAAAATTCAGCCTGGAGTGTTTAAGGAATATCATTTTTTTTTATCAGCAGGCATAATGAAATCTGTGACTCATAAAGTGAACTGTAGACAGGCTATTAGAATAATCCACAGGAAAAGTAAGAGCACCAGAAGTAATTACGAGAAGAGATTTAAAAAAAAAAAAAAAAAACCGTTTTTTTCCCCAGAGGTGTTTTTTTTTTTTAAATATGAGTAATTATTTTTTCAAAGAAATTTTTTTAGTTGTTGATGGACCTTTATAATATATTTGTATGTGGTGCTGAGAATCGAACCTAGCACCTCACCCATGCCAGGCAAGCGCTCTACCACTGAGCCACAGTGCCAGCCCCATGAGTAATGATTTTAACTTGCAAACTGTGTTTGGCCTAACTAGCTAAAACTACTTTTCAGCAATGAATAGATAGGTTGTGGTACATGAATTTTTGTTACAGATTATTTAAAAAATGTGTTGGAAATATATGTGCCTCAAGTTATCTTCCTTGTTAACTAGTAAATAATCTTATTAATTTCTCTTTATAGTCTTATGTTAACATGTGGGTTTCATTGTTTTTACTTTCACAGTGTATGACTGATATTAAAGACATGGTTTTCACCTCACTGCATCAACGCACATAGGTTTTCTCTTTTTGGATCCCTATCTTACGCCACAATGGTAAGCTTTGGCTCAGTATGTTCAAGTTTGGATTTTAGAATATTATTTTTGTCTTTATAAATATAAATACCTGTATTATAGATCAAGAAATGCTCTTGTAAGCTGCTTTAGTTATCCTTATTGGGAAATTATTTAGCGGTCATGTATAAAATGTGTGCTCATTTCTCAATTTAGTGTTATTATGATGGTCACATCCAAGTCACATACATAACCTGTGTATTTAAAATTTTATTTCTAACTATTTTGCCATATTCCAAGTCATTGGCAAGGAGGATGGGTATAAATACAAATAGTTTGGGGCCTTGTTGATTTCTCATTTTAAAGTTGTTCTTACCGCCCCCCACCTTCAGTACTGGGATTGAACCCTGGGCACTTTACCACTGAATTCATCCCCAGTGCCACTTACCCTCCACCTTTTTTAAAATTTGAAACAGGGTCTCACTAAGTTGCTGAGGCTGGTTCCAACTTGTAATTCCGCCTCAGCTTTCCTAGTCACTAGGATTATAGGTATGAGTCATTGCACTCTGCTCATTTTTTTTTTAATTTAAAAATAAATGTAACCCTGTTAGTGCATCCAACATTTCAAGTAGCACCAGTGCTAGCCTTCTAGTGTCATATTTCTACTCACTGATTTATAGTCAGAAAGTATTCTTACCTGTAGACACTTAACTTTTGTCATTAAGATGTTAAAGACTTGGGGGGGGGGGATACTTTTTAATATTTGAGAAAAGGAGCATTTGAACTGGACACAGTGGCACGCACCTGTACTCCCAGTGATTCCAGAGACTGAGGCAGGAGGATCTCCAGTTTAAAACCAACTTGGGCAACTTAGATTCTGTCTCAAGAGATAAAAAGGTGTGATTCCCTGACATACTACACAGAAAAGACTAACTACCTAATAGCCGCTGCTAAAGACACGCAGAAGAAAAAGAGGTTTTTAAAGAGAGGTGGTCAGCACTGGAAAGCTGAGTTCAGGATTCTGCTGCTCAGCTATGAGAATCTTTCTAACCAGGCACCTTAGTACGTACTTAAGTCTATTACGTATGCCAGACACAAAGCCAACAGAGAAGTCGAAGTTGTGAAGCTGAGCGACACTTTACCAAACAGCCTCAGGAACCCATTTGCCTAGCTTTTCTGGGACATTGAGTATGTCACCACGCCCATATGCATGGACAGTGCTCACAGTGCTGGATCAGACACTAGATGGGCTCCTGGTTCTGCCATAGTTACTCAAAACCCACTATTATGTATAACTACAATGTACCAATAAAATTTTTCTTAGAAATTTAAAGGAAAAAAAAAGATGAAAAGGGGTTGGGAACATAACTCAGTGGTAGAGAGCCATAGCTTCAATCCTCACTACTACAAGCAAACAAAAGAAGAGTTTGACAGGAGAGTAAGTGAACACTGAGCACCGTGTTGAATAATCTTTCCTAAAAACTCTGTCACACAAACTTAAAAAAAACACTTTCCTTTTCCTTTTGGGATCTTACCTATGTGCCCTTGCCCTGTTAGAGAAAAGTAGAACTGTCATACTGGGATTCTGACCTCATATTATATTTTGCATCTCTATTACTTAATGATAATCTTAAGTATTTGAAGGAGTAAGTGAATGAATGAGGCAAAGCATATCTCATTGTATCTTCTGAAGTTTTAATTTCAGAAGATGAAATATTTACTTCAGACAACAGATAATTTAAAATTATCCTAAGAGCTTATATTTTCTTGTTTACTATAATTTTATATAAACTCACAAAACTTTAAAGTTTTGTGGCCAAAATTTAAAAAAAGACCCTATAGTTGTCAAGAGTATGTATGTTGGGGCTGGAGTTGTGGCTCAGTGGTAGAGTGCTCACCTAGCATGCACAAGGCACTGGGTTCGATCCTCAGCACCACATAAATGTAAAAGATATTGTGTCCACCTGAAACTTAAAAATAAATATTTGAAAAAAAAAAAGAGTATGTATGTAGAGTACATTTTCTTGGGGAAAATGAGTTATGCTCAAGAGTCTTATTTTGAATCATGGGAACCAGTTTCTCTGGGAAGCTGTTCTTTGATTTTTTTTTTTTTTTTTTTTTTTTTTTGGTGGTAGAATTGAACCTAGGGGTGCTTAACAACTGAGCCACATCCCTAGCCTTTTTATTTTGAGGCAGAGTCTCCCTAAGTTGTGTAGGGTCTTGCTAAATTGCTAAAACTGGCTTTGAACTTGAACTTGCCATCCTTCTGCCTCAGTGCTGGGATATTTTGTCACATGCAAGTTGGTAGATTGAATTATTGGAATCTAAAACATACTGTAAATAAAAATAGAAGGTTCTGTATCTCTGAAGTTTTGAAAGGACTGTAATTGTGAATGAAAAATACTATGACTCTGCATAGTACTTGAAGCACCCTAGAAAAAGAACTCACTAATGGTATATTTATTTAACTTTGTTTGGAACCTAGTATTTTTTATGTGTCTTTAGAAAAGTTTCATAAATAAAGATATAGTTTAACTTTATATTTCTCCCTCTTACCTTAAAATGATGGTCTATAAGAAGTATATGAAAGATGCAGATCTGTTAATTTCAATTATTGTAGTTGTTATATCCAGCCATTTTATATATTAGCCTCGCAAAAAAACACTTACCCTGTCTAAGGCTATATTTTCTCTTAGTTACATATCTTGATCATTCAGTAGAATGGAGGAGAAAAATAAAGAATACATTGGACTTATTTCAGAAAATGAAACATTTAAGCACTTAATTAGGAATGTCAAATCCTTATTAAATTAATTTTTTTGTGAAAATAATACTGCCAAATATACTTTTTACAGCAGCAAGCCTTAGAACTAGCTTTGGATCGTGCAGAGGTAAGATACAACTAAATTACATGTTAAACTAGTATTGTTTGTAATTGACAAAAAATTCGATTTTAAGAGATTTTTGTGTGTTATCTTCAAAGGAATATTTTAATTAATATAGGACAAGCATGTAGATAATCTGTAAACGTAGAAAAATGTAAGGTGATGTTTGGATCATCTCTTAACTTGGAATCCTCATTTGTTTTTCTATTTTAACAAGTTTTCTAACAGCTAAAAAAATAGTGCTTGCAATTAGATATACACTTTTCTATACATTAAACATATTCTGAACATTTATAAAACATATTGATAATGTTTCTGATCTGTGTAATTACAATTCTTAGAAATTAAATACTGTACTCAACGTTAGTGCAGCATAAATTTCACTTTTTTATAATATTACAAATTAAGCAGGTTTTTGTTTTGTTGTTTTTTTTTTTTTGCTGTAAGATATAATTTAACATGAGAGACTTGTGACTAAATGGCCTGTTTAGTTTTGCATATGTTTTAGATATACAGTACTTAATTTGTTCATACACAAAGCAAAAAGCAAACTGTTTTCATAAACTTTTCTTTTTTTAGTATGTCATTGAAAGTGCACGACAAAGACCTCCTAAAAGGAAATATTTATCTAGTGGAAGGTATGAACATTTAATTGATAAAATCTTAAATTCCTTGAAATATGATGTCACCATTCGTTGCTCTTACCCAGATCCGGGCTTGAAATGTTTTAGCTTCTTTGAAGATCCTAATCTGAAAATCTGAAATACTTGAAAATCTGAAACCTTTTACCCTGACATGTGGTCACAAGTGAAAAATTTCATAACTAACCTCATGTGACAGGGCAGATTGTAGGCATACTAAAAATACTGTATGAAACTACCTTCACTTCATTTGTATTAGTGTATATGAAACAAATGATTTTCATTTCTAAGCTAGGGTCTCAAGAAATTATTAGATATATATCAAATATTCCAAATCCTGGAAAAAATCCAAATATTTTGGTCCCAAGCCTTTTAGATAGGAATATTCAATCTGCACTAGTAATTTCTTTCTATTTTGGTGGTAGTAGAAATTGTACTCGGGGGTGTTCTACCACTGAGATACATCCACAGCCCTTTTTTATTTTTTTATTTTGAGATAGAGTCTCATTGAATTGCAAGACTGGCCTTGAATTGGCAATCTGCCTGCTCCTTCCTAGGTGGTTAGATTATAGACATGTGCCAGGATGCCTGACTGCATTAGTAATATCTAAGTTTTTTTTAAATAACATATCCACCCCAGCTCTGCCCCCAACTTTGGGAATGTGGGGAGATCATTGAAACATTTATTTTATGATGATTAATGTTATTTTGTATATTGTCTTTATTAATTTTTTTCTAGAAAATCTGTATTTCAAAAACTTTATGACTTATATATTGAAGAATGTGAAAAAGAACCTGAGGTTAAGGTAAGTGTGAATTTTTTTATGGTATTGTGGCTTTTGGAATGTGTAGTAGAACAGAGAAATCTGGAGGAATTAGGTTTGAAACAGTTAATGATTTATATTTTTGTGGGTAAACCAACAGTTTTTTCCAACCATACTCTAGTGGGTTCTCAACTTTTCCAGAATCCTGGCTAATCTGGCATCAGGCATAGGTCACCTGCTGAGGTAGGACTAGGAGACAGTGTTAACTAAAAGCAGACTATCTCACTGGCAAGTCATAAGCAAAGCCATAGTATGTATCTTTTGCTGTTTCTTTCCCTGAAGAAGTGATTTGTAAACTTAAGGTAGGAGAAAAGTAACCTGTTTCCTCTTGGTGATTTGCACTAGAAAGTCAAAAACTATTACAGAACATATAGGAAATTCAGATGTTGTAATAAAAAGTGAATTTGGTCACAAAAATATGCTTATGACCTGTTTAATTCATGTTTATTTAACATAAAGGTGTCTGCTATAGGAACATGATAAAATTAACTTCTTGATACCTTTTGAACTCTCAGGTTAGAAGGACCTTAAAGGGTTCTATGAACTTTTGTTCTGTCTTTAATTCAAAAATGAATATTGCTGAGTGCGGTAGTGCATATCTGTAATCCCAATGACTCTGGAGCCTGAGGCAGGAGGACTGCAAGGTCAAAACTAGCTTCCACAACTTAGCAAGGCCCTGTCTCAAAATAAAAAATAAAAAGAGCTGAGATGTGTCTCAGTGGTGAAGTGCTCTGGGTTTAATCTTCAGTATCCCCCTCCTCCCAAAAAAGTTAGCATGTCTGACCTAAGCTTTAAACTCTTTACATTCATTAAATTTATAAATATCTTGTGGTATGTTTTTCATATGTTTTATTGAAGCACATGTGACATAGCAATGTATTATATATGTCTAAAGTCTACATTTTCATGTTTTTACATGCATAACATATATACTCCCATGAAACCATTGGCACAATCAGTACAAGTGCACATCTATCACCTCCAAGACAAAACTAAGATAGGGGAGATATGTATATATGTCAAGATTCTCTGACCTTACTTCATATTTTCATAAATGAATCTTTACCGGAACTCATCACACTCATTTGTTTACATTTGTCCATGACTGCGTTTGAGATACAAAGGCAGAATTGAATAATTGAGAACCCAGACAATATGGCTCACAAGCCTAAAATACTATGTGGCCTTTAAAGAAAGGAATTTTCAACTGGTAGTCTTAACTGGGAACCAACATATTTTCTTAAAGAGGTACACATGCTATCAGAATTTATTTTTGTCTTAACTCAAATTATGAAGGTTTTCTCTATCCTCAAAATACTAAAAATTTTTAGGGTTTTTTTGTTTTTTGTATCAGGTGTTGAATCCAGGGGTGCTTAACCAATGTTCACATCCCCAGCCCTTTTTATAAAATTTTATTTTGAGACAGTTTTTTGCTAAGTTGCTAAGGCTGACCTTGAACTTGCCAACCTCTCACCTCAGCCTCCTGAGTAGCTGGGATTACAGGCGTGTTCCACTGCGCCTGGCTTTAAATCAAAGTGGTTAAAAGTTGTCTGCCTTTGTGTTTTCATTTTTGGATTGCATAGAGTTCTTATAATATGACGCTAGGAATTTATAATTCTTTCAGTTTAATGTTAGTATATTGTTATGCAGTTAAATATAAGGTACTCAAAACTGTTTTGTTTTGTTTTTTTTTTTTTTGATTCTACAAAAAACAAATATTCTGTTGGCTCAAGTATCTTTCCTAAATGATACATTTATTGCTCAATTTAAGTGTTTTTTGTTGTTGTTTTTTGGTGTTGGGGATTGAACCCAGGGCCTTGTGCATGAGAGGCAAGCACTCTACCAACTGAGCTGTATCCATAACCCGCTCAATTTAAGTATTTATAGCTGTTTGACATCTGGAACAATGGGACTTAACTAGGTTAATCATACATCTTTCTAAAATTGTGGATTTTGATGTATGTGCATTCTATTTCCTGATGGATTTTTAAAAATAATTGAGGTTTTTTAAGATTTTTACTTTCTATTTATATATTTGAAAGTACATATTTTATGTTTGTTTTTATTGTTTTCTAGGTTACCAGTTTTCTTTTTGACATGAATTAATTTTTTAAAATACAGCAATAGAAACAAATTAAGTCTACATTGCTTTCTATGAATAGTGGCCCTCGTATGATCTTCCCCATGTATTCAGGATTATAATGTGGAAGAAGTGCCAAAAGATTATTCAGATAGGATTTTGTCAATTCATAACATTATTTTTCAAGGTTATAATGGATTATTGTCATCAGCTTTGCCTCTTTTAAAGCAGAAATTAAGAAGAAATGTGAACTTGTTAGAGAAGCTTGTTATGCAAGAGACTTTGTCGTGTTTAGTGGTCAATCTATATCCAGGAAATGAGGGATATTCTCTGATGCTCAGGGGAAAAAATGGATCAGGTAAGACCCTACAAAGTATAAATGACACAAAATACCTCTGCCAGGCAGGATGTGCTGCTTTTTAAAATTAGTTTCTTAACCTATTCAGTGGTTTGTCCTTTGAACCAATGATGACTTAGTGATAAAAGCACATTTTTATCTTAAAATTTTCCTTATGATTTTTGGTAGAATGTAAGAAATTACTCTAATACTTATGATTATCCTTCCTGAACATGCATTTGAAAAGTATTCTAATTTTTCTTCGAGAAAGACATGATTTTTAAATAATATCAAAATTTCCTTTTGTTCAGTTGCTGAACAATATTTTAAGATAGCATAAGGTATCTTAAGGTATGTACATTTTTATATATTATTGAATCTAAAACTTCAAAATTAATCAGATTCACTGCCTTTTGAGTTTTAAAATATACTCAGATTTAACTAAAGAGTCTCCTAAAAAATTCATATTGTAATAATAATTTGAGTTCTATAAGGAAGTCACGCTAGTCAAGAATTTTTTCTTGTGTTGAAAATTAATTGTAAAATGTAACACCAAGAGAATTCTTTTCTTTGGTCAGATGAGGTACCAAATTGTCATTCTAATTTCCAGACACTAGTCTTCAGTGAACTTTCAATTTCTTTGATCTTGGAGTTTTATCATTTATGATTACTGCTGACTGTGATTTATTGTGATATGCCAGATGTTTTTCCAAAATGTCAGGGTTTTGTCCTCCTCTTTTCTGAAGTGTTATATACAGTATAGTTAACAAGTTTTTTAGTAAATGTGGTTCATTTATAAGGTTTAAAGGTCATTAGGAGAGCCTTTGGCTTTATTTACTTATTTACTGAGAAGCCTTTTGGTGAGTCTAATCATTTTCATATACTTTTATGTTTTAAAATTAAGATTCTGAAACCATTCGACTGCCTTATGAAGAAGGGGAATTACTTGAATACTTAGATGCAGAAGAATTACCTCCTATTTTGGTTGATCTTTTAGAAAAATCTCAGGTATAAATTTTTTCTCTTTAAAATGTCCTGCTGGTACATGATTTATGCCTGTACTCCAGTTACTCAGAAGGCTGAGGCAGGAAGAACTCTTGAGCTATGAGTTAGAGGCCAGCTTTGGCAATATAGCAGAACCCAGTCTCTAAAATAAGTTTTTAAAACTCTGTACATTTATTATATGTATATAATATATACATATTATGCTTTTTAGTATACACGTATGCAAATTTTATATGAATCTAAAGGACCATATGGTTATTTTGTGATAAATGATATTTAATCTTTACCACTGTTCCCAACAGTGTTTAGAACTCGAAATGAGACATTATACATCATTATTTAGAAATTGATTTACTATGGAATATTTAAAATTTTTGCTGTACTGAAATGTACAGATTTAGTCAGTTCTTCTAAAATTGGCTACAACATTTAGATTATTGATTGAAATCTCCCTATAGTTACAATCAAGAAAATATGTAAGAAACTACTCTTGACTATTTGGGTGTGGAGGAGTGGTAACCAGGGATTGAACCCAGGGGTGCTTAACCATTGGGCCACATCCCCAGCCCTTTTGAGACAGTCTTGCTAAGTTGCTTAGGGCCTAAGTTGTTGATGCTGGCTTTGAACTTGTAGTCCTCCTGCCTCAGCCTCCTGAGCCAACTGGGATTATGGGTGGGGGGTCACTGTGCCTGGCTTCTTTGGCTATTTATGAAAGTTTTTTTAAATTGGGGACCAAAAACTGGTCTTTACATCTGTAGTTGGTTTTTCTCTCTTCTTTTTATGGTATTAGGGATTGAATTCAGGGGTATTCTACCACTAAGTTACATCCCCAGCCCTTCTTTATATACTATTTTAATATAGGGTCTCTTTAAATATATTGGATACTTCACTGAGAGGAAAGAAAACAACGTCAAATGAGAATTCCCATTTTTCTCCTAAGACTAGTTGACCAATATCACTTTGTCTACACGTTGCCTTTGCCTTTCTATTGAAATAAACAAATGCTATTCCAAAGATGTTCCTTCATTTGTTTTCTAGATCCTTCCTTTTTTCTAGGACTTACAATTATAAACTCTCTTTTCTATTTTTTTTCTTCTCTGTTAGATTCAGAATGCAAATGTTCTGTATTCTCAGCTTTAAAAAATTCTATCTTGACCCCAATTCCTTCTCCTGCTATTGCTTTATAATTCTTCTTCTCCTGATAGCAAAAGTAATCAGAGTTGTGTATAGTCATCATCTCCTTTCTATCATATTCCACTCTTCTCTACTCACCTTATTTGGCATTTTAACATCTACATTCTATAGAACCTGTTTTGTCAAATCACCAGTGATCTCCATGGCAGGGAATCAATTGATCAGTCTTATGTTCTAAATTGATCTCTTAGCAAAGTTCAATGCAAATAACTATTTTCTTCTTGAAATGCCCTTCTTTGGGCTTCTGCGATATCATATTTCTGGTTTTTTTCTTCCTTATCTATTCCTCCAATTCTCTGCATCATCTTTGTTCCATCCATAAATATGTGTGTTTCATAGTTCTGTCCTAGGCCCTCTGTGCTTTAATTAACAGTCTCCCAAGGTAATCTCAGTTAGTTCCTTGAGTTCTTAAAATGTTACTTAATCCCATGCTTATATGTCTGTTATTATGATCATTCCACCAAGCTTTATACTTACATATTTACTTGGATATATAAGTTCCCCAAACTTAACCTGATGAACACAGAACTTTTTATTTTACTTCCCAATCTCATTTTATCACTAGTCTCTTTCATTCTGATGGATGACCTTACCCTGTCCTTCCATCTTCAGTCCATCAGCAAATATCATCTCTCTCTTTAAACTGGTCATGATATGCCATGGTTCCCTTCCTAAACTTCCTGCTTTCATTCTAAAATCACAGAGAGCCAGATAAGGTATATAAAACAAAAATGAAAAAGTAAAATCCTCCTCTCTATGCACTCTTAACTGCACAAAATCTCTGCTCTCCTGTTTGCTTTCATCTTCTAATTCTGATTTTTACTCACTACACTCCAACCAGCCTTGTCTTCTTTCTGTACTAAATCAAACCAAGCTTATTCCTATTGGAATGCATTTTCTCTGCTATTTCTCACTAGAGTGGTTTGCCCTGGATCATTCTTGTGATTCAGGTTTCAGCTGAAACTCACTCCTCTCAGAGAGGTTTTTATTTTATTTTCTTTAAAGCAGTTATCATTATCTAAAATTATCTTGTTTACTACCTGTCTTTCTATGCTGAGAGCAAGAGTTGTCTTACCACTGTATCTGTGAAGCTTTTTGAATAATTCCTGTCAGAGTATACATTGTACTTGGTCAATAAATACTTGTTAAAAAGATCGAACACAGGTATGACTGACAGGTAACATGAAAGTCCCAGTCTAAAAGTTATAAATGGATGAAAAACATGATGGTGTGAATGTGACCATGGGAAGTCATCCTTAGTTAGGGGCTCTTGTATTTGGGTGTAGAAATAGGTGGTTTTTAATTTGAATTTATAGTTGGCTTTCCTCCTTTTATTAATAAGGACCAAATACAATCCAAGGATCTGTAACTCCACTAATGTGAAAATGTCAAAAGTTGATCTGTTATTGTAGATGCATCAGTCTATAACTAGAAACCAAAAATATAGGAGTGGCCAGAAATAATGCATAAAAATTTAAAGAATGTGAAACATTTAGTACAAAATACTTACATAGGTTGTTGAAAAAATGACATTTGCTTGAATATTTTTATTCTAAACAGGTTAATATTTTTCATTGTGGATGTGTCATAGCAGAAATTCGTGACTACAGGCAATTCAGTAATATGAAATCTCCTGGTTACCAAAGTAGGCACATTCTTTTACGTCCAACAATGCAGGTAAGTAATGTTTAATTAGAAAGTGGTTTTTGAAATTTTAGTTAGTCTTATTTATTAAATATTTATATGTTTGTGTAAATATATGTTAATGGATTTTTAAAAATTTTATTTTTTCCAGACTTTAATCTGTGATGTCCATTCAATAACAAGTGATAACCATAAATGGACCCAGGTTTGTTGTTTTGTTTTTTGTTTTTATATATATATATATATATATATATATATTTAAGTTGTTGATAGACCTTATTTGTTTATTTATATGTGGCGCTAAGAATTGAACCCAGTACCTCACACATGCCAGGCAAGTGTGCTACTGTTGAGCTATAGCCCCAGCCCTGTTGCTTTGTTTTTTAATTCCAAATGAGCAAACTATAGGGTAAATATTAAGTAAAAGCTACTTTGTGCTCATGTTTTTACTCATGTATTAAGTTCTTCCTGCAAAAAACTGGGCTTCTTTTATGAGTTTTAGAAGTTAAGGGTATCTTTATATATGCAGTAAATCACTTGAGGAACTTTAATGACTTGGTCCCAATTGCTTATGACAGATCCCAGTTAGGCTGACCTGATGTGTAATGTGAAACTTAGTTCTTGTATCTTTTTATTTAGTTTGTCTTTTTCCATTTTTATTGGTTGTTTTGGCACTAGGGGACCTCTCCTGCTCCTGAGGTTTGGCTCAGCAGTGTTTGTGAGATGTCTAGTTATAAGGGTATTTACTTATTTCTCTGCTAATTTAGAGAGGAATCATTAATAAAGAAAATTATTCTGTCTTTGAAATGTGATTATAAAATAAGAGTCAGTTCATCTGTAACTGTTAAGTGTTGTGTTTTAATTTGATGTATTATTTTTTCATCTCTAAGGTTTTAAAAATATTCAAACATAATCTTCATTGGTTAACATTTATGGATGTTCCTATTCTGAGACTTGAGAAAGTAGAGAGTATAATATTTATTCTATTATTTCTGTATAAACTATTTTAGGCAGCTAGATAGTATCTGAGGGAAGATTCTTTAAGGAAATCGCAACTAAATAAGTGTAAGAGAAATGGTAGACTTTAAAAAAAAAAAAAACTCCCATGTGAAATAATACCACTTCCAAGATGTATTTAAAATTTTTCCAGCAAAACAAAAACAAAGTTTATGAAGATGGTCATTAAATGAAATTAGGTGTTAATATGTAAGTCATCACACTTTTCCTTTTGTGTGTAGAAGATTCCATAATAAAAAGTTGAGTGAAACAGAAAATTTTTTCAAAAGTTTTAGTTTTCAGCAATATTAATTTACTTACTTGACTTTAAAAGAATTGTTATAGCAGGTCTGGGGTCATGCCTTAGCAGCAGAGTTCTTGTCTAATGTGTTTGAAGCCCTGTTTTCTCTGATCCCCAGTGGTGAAAAAAAAAAAAGTATTATAATTAATAAAAATTTAAATTGTTAAACAGAAGAATAGGATTCAGGAAAGTTATGTGATACTAGTAAAAAGCCTGTATCTTGCCAAGTGTGGGGGCATACACCTATAATTCCAAAAGCCTGGGAGACTGACACAGCATGATCGAGAGTTCAAAGCCAGGCTCAGGAAAAAGCGAGACTGCTAAGCAACTCAGTGAGACCCTGTTTCTAAATAAAACACAAAAAGGGATGGGGATGTGGCTCAGTAGTTGAGTGCTCCTGAGTTCAATCCCTGGTACCACCAAAAAAAAAAAAAAAAGGCTGTATCTTCTTTGGATTTGGTCATGGATATATAGAATTTGCCAGTATTAATATAGTCATTTTTTTATTATTATTAAGTAGTCAAGCTGAGTATAGAATGGGAGTGTTCCTTTTCAATTACTGAAATAACTGTAATCCATCATGACCTTGTAAGCTTCATAAGGGCAGAGGATTTCATCTATTTTGTTCATGGCTTTTATTCCCAAATCTTAGAACCTAACATGTTGTAGGTATTAAGTAAATAAATGTTGAATTGATGAATGTTCATTTTTATAATTAACTATTTCATACAGTTTTACAGATAATGAATTTCAGTAAGTTATTTTACATTGTCAAGTTCCAAAGTTTACACACTAATTTTGGCACTTGAGTTACTGTGTTTTACTGTGATCTTTAATAGAGTTCCAGACAATATTTCTAGCTTAAATATGTATGATTATTTTAGTTCGATACTGACATATGCTTTTATACATTTCAGGAAGACAAACTTTTACTTGAAAGCCAACTGATTCTAGCTACAGCTGAACCACTGTGTCTTGATCCTTCGATTGCAGTAACTTGTACTGCAAACAGACTGCTCTATAATAGGCAAAAAATGAATACTCGCCCAATGAAACGGTAATTGCCTTTGGGGAAAAGAGTGAATCAATATCAAGCTATTTGATAAATAGCTCTAAATTTTGCTATTTATAGTGACTTTTCTCTTCAAGGAAATAAGTGCTCTTGATTTTTTTTTTAATTGGAAAATAGGTATTTTCATATTGTTTTATATGTTTTGATTTTGTAATATTTGCTCCTGTAATATATTTTCTAGTCTGTTAAAAGAACTTACTGTAAATTTGTAGTCTGTTTACCAAAAATGTAGAGAAGCTGAGAAGAGACCAAGTGTGAACAAAAGAAAAATTTCTTAATTACTTTCTGATATTCAATAACCAGTTTAGTTTTTATTAATTTTACTTTTGAGGAAACGGGTTTTTTTTTTAAGATTTGAGAAAATAGCAGCTTTAGAAATCTATTTCTCTTATAGCAATTTGTCTTTTATGTTTTAGTTATTTCTTCTACTTAACAAAAGAATGCATATAAGAGAAAAAGTTTACAGCATTGGAAATATTGGAATAAATCCATATAGGATTTATTGGCAGTTCTGTAGCTTCCTTGTATCTCTGTCTATCTCTCTCTAGGCCTGTTGCCCATACCTTATTTCAAACCACCATCATCTTCCCCCTCTAATAAATTCATAATTGATTTTTCTGTTTCAGCTTATTCCCTCCCAGTCTGTTTGCCATTCAAGTAAACTAGATCATACTTAAATTTAAGCCCCTTAATAAAACTTCCCCCAAAGCGTTGCACTGCACGTTAAATCTAAACACATTACTATTGGTCTGTAAGATCCTTGCCTTGATCTCTAATCTTACCTAACCTTTAGTGCTTTAGTTAAACCTGGTTTTCTGTTTCTGAAACAGATCAGATTTTTTCCCATTGTAGTACCTTTTAAAATTATTCTCTCTGCTTCAAATACTTTTTCTCCCATCTTTCAAAATGATTCCTTTTCTCTGGGCATGGTGGTGCATGCCTGTAATCCCAGCTATGAGTATCGAAAGTTCAAGGCTGGCCTCAATGAGTTAGCAAGACCCTATCTCAAAATAAAAAAAAACAAATTAAAAGAGCTGCATATGTGTAGCCCAGTGGTAAAGCACTCTTGGGTTTAATCTCTAATACAAAAATTTAAAAAAAATTTTTTTTTCTTTGCCCTTTCCTTGTGGGAAGGATGAGATTTTTCTCCATTATTCACTGTGAGACCTCTGTAACCTCTTAGAGATAAAACTCAAAAAAGTGTGTGGCCTCCCAGTGACTGGATCTCCCCATAGTTTTTAATCTCATACTTGACCATGCTGAGCCTCCAGCAATTGATGAGTTAACTTTAGGTTTCAGTGCCCCCAGCACTGGTTACCAAGGAAGTTTGTTCCTCAGCAAGCCAAGATGTTTCAATTGGCCTATTCTCCAAATTTGGGGACAGTGATTTGTCCTGTGACCTCACCTCTTTGATAGATCAAAGAATTGTTGGTTTGGGGGTTTATTAAGTCTTTTACTTGTTAGGATGCAGTGATGACTTCCAGCTTCTTACATGCATGGATCTGAAATAATCCTCCCTATCCAGGTCTTTCTATGACTAGTTCCTTCATTTGTGCTTAACTTATTTCATTTCTTCAGAGGGTTCTTCCCTTCCCTAAGTATTGCCCTCCTTGTCACTTATACACCACAGTATTCTGATTTTTCTCCTACTGCTTATCATTCCCTAAAATCTGAAATTATCTGTTTACTTGGGAATTGAACATCTCTTTCCCTCTCTGGACTATAAGCTAGCCTCACGATAATGGGAATTTTGTTTGTCTTGCTCATTTTTATTTTACCAGTGCCAAGGACATTGCTTGGATGTGATTTAATTACATAGTCAGTGCTTGCTAGTTTAAACCCATATATATATTGTGAGTTTATTACCTTTGTTTAGTTCAAATTTTTTAATATTGCAGGTGTTTCAAGAGATATTCCAGGTCCTCTCTGAATCGGCAGCAAGACCTGTCTCACTGTCCTCCACCTCCTCAGCTGAGGTTACTGGATTTCTTACAGAAACGAAAGGAAAGAAAAGCAGGTCAGCATTATGACCTCAAAATTTCTAAAGCAGGAAATGTAAGTATTTTAAATGAACATTACCATACCAGAAAACTTGCCTTTTTGAATTTTTGGTATATTTATACTGTTTTTCACTTTTTAGTGTGTAGATATGTGGAAAAGGAGTCCCTGTAATTTGGCCATTCCTTCTGAAGTGGATGTAAGTCAGTTCAATACTTGCTTTTTTTTTTCCTGCATAAGTTTCTAAATTTGATCCTTGATAGTTAGTACCTTGAGAATATAATCTCAGTAATTGATTTATTTAATACATTCCTCATTTTTAGAAGGTGTATTTTCTTCACATTGTTATATCAGAACATAACCCTTTCTATGTTTGGAGCCACAATTACAAAACAGTTTAAATGTGGAAAAATATGGTATAACATAATACACATGAAATGCCTCTGTTTTTTTTTTTGTTGTTGTTGTTTTGTTTTTTGTTTTTTGGTATTTCTTCATAATTTTCTAATGATGCTTTTTTTTCTGAATCTGGTTGAGTTTATTAATATTGGAGTAATGGCCAAAATTAGGAACAATCTTAGGCAATATTCTTTACTGGTCCATAATACCCATCAACTATAAATGATTTAAGACATGAGAGAAATATTGTGAAAAGGGTCTATATTTTACTTTTCTGTTTCTTTTTGTGTTCTTTTTATTATTCACCCACTTCTTTACAGTTGTATTCCTTTCATATATTTGCTGTTCTCTCATATCTTCCTTGGTTAGTACATGTACTGTTCTTATTAAGATTTTGTAAAAAGTTGTCTAAAGCAGAAACACAATAGCATCTATAGAGTGTGTATACAACTCTGAGAATAGATCATTAGTGTACGTTTTAAAAATGGTGAAATTTAACTTTGGAGGGAAGGGTAGGCATCTAAAGCAGTATTTCTCAAATTTTAATGTATATATTACCTGGAGAATTTATTGAATTGTTGATTCTCGAGATATATAGTTCAGTGGTAGAGCATTGTGCATGAGACTGTAGGTTCAATCCTCAGCATTACAGTTAAAAAACATCCAGGTTCTGTTTCAGGTCTGGGCTGGAACTGAGATGCTGCCATTTTCACAAGCCTGTAGTTTATGTGTAAGGCCTACAGACCACAACTTTAAACAGCAGTGCCCTAATAACAAAGTTTGTCAGTCTGGCTCAGTCAACAGAATCATATAGGATATCAGACATACAGGTTTCAAACCCTAGTTCAGACCTACTTAATTGGGATCTCTAAGGGAGGAACATAAAAATCTGTATTTTAAATAGGTACTCAGGTGAATCTAAATTACTTTTTCCTTTTTTGTTTTGAGGGTTTTTTGGGTGGTCCTTGTGTATGCTGAGCACAAGCTCTACCATTCAGCTACACCTCAACCTCAAATTTTTCTTAAGATCATGGTTACAAAGATGGTGAGAATATTTAGTTCACAGTCTTATGAATGCAGACTATATTGCCCAATTATGACTAGAAAGTAGAAAAAAATTAAAACATCTTTTCAATTTTAATATTTTATCTTTTCTAATCTCTTTATAGTTTGTGTATTACCACGAATACATAATAACTCCTATTCATTTAAAACCTTGCCAAAATAGACAAGATCCTGAATTTTAACTCTTGATATTCTAGTTTTCCTAAAGGAAAGTCTCTAAACAACAAATGTGATTCATCTTATGGAATAAAAAAAAGAGGCAGAAACACAGCTGTGTTTATTAAATTTATATAATAGCTGAAGATGTTCTAATTTGACTTGTATTAACCGTGTTTTTATAATATAACAGTAGAATTTTAAACTAGTAAACATAATTATTTGGTATATTATAATGATTCAAGAATTCTTATGTCGGTTATATTATTGAGTTACATTGTTCTATTCAGTCTGAAAACTGATCCCATTTTATCTGTTGTCTTGATTGTTTAGGTGGAGAAATATGCTAAAGTGGAAAAATCTATCAAATCAGATGACTCACAACCAACAATTTGGCCAGCCCATGTAAGTAGTCTTTGCTAGTCTGTCTTAATGATGTTGTTTGTAATCTGAGGTCTGAATTTACTCAACATAAATTTATTAAACATTGCTTTTAACCTGGGACCTTTTAAAAAAAGAAGAAGAAGAAGAACTTTCTAGGGATTGAATTCAGGGGTGCTCACTCAGCCATATGTCCAGCCCTTTTTATTTTTAATTTTGAGACAGGGTCTCATTAAATTGCTAAGACTGGCCTCGAACTTAAGATCCTCCTGCCTTAGCCTCCCAAATCTCTGGGATTATAGCCATGCACTACTTCTCCCAACAGGTTCAGTAAATTAGAGAATAACTGTTTTGTCTATATGGTTTCTGTTTTAAGAAAAAATTTAATGCAGAACTGCATTTTTACTTTTGGCTGCATGATGTTAGTCCTTATTTGATTTCTTTTATGAATTAATACATTCATCTGAGGATGTTTTTTAATGGAAACGTTCTAATTTTTTCTAATTGCAATAACAGCTTTTTAAAGGGAAAAGTAGGCATAATGTATTAAATTAGATGAATCCTAGGAGTGAAATAATAAAAGAGATGTTTTGTACATAGGAATATTTTATGTGTGACAGGAGAGGCTATGACAAAAACAGATCTGTTTTTGAAATTTTATCCTCTATTTTTTCATCCAAGTTACATATAGACACATGTATCTCCAATATATGGAATTCGGCCATATTTTTCTCAGGCTTATTCCATTGGAACTCTCATTCCTAAAGTACCATATAAAAATCCCATACCTCCCTATAGAACATAGAGTGGCAGGGCAGCACTAAGGTTTAAAATACAGGGTGGAGGATCTCTCCTCATTTCCTTCATCTTTAGCAGGGAGGTAATAGTGGTGAAGATTACATGAAGCAGTACCTTTACAGTGCTAAGAACAGTGTTCAATAAATGTTTATTGTTAGCATTTTGATTATTTAGGAATTGATTATGTATATTAATAAGTAATGTTATTGATCATTTATTAGTATCATTACATGTTCATACCTAACATATATGTTTATACTTTATCAGAAAAGAACCATTCTGAGCTTTATTAGGCAGACTTAAACATTTCTATAGTTTAAGTTCCATGTGTCTTTCTATTGCCAGACTTTAGAGTATCATTTATTTCCAACTTTTGCTAATTCTGATTGCTTGCTTGAGAAGGTTTTGTTTGGGATGCCCTATGTTTTTCAGGATGTAAAAGATGATTATGTATTTGAATGTGAAGCTGGTAATCAGTATCAGAAAACAAAGCTGACCATCTTGCAGTCACTTGGTGATCCACTTTACTATGGTAAAATACAGCCATGTAAAGCAGATGAAGAAAGTGACAGCCAGATGTCTCCATCCCAGTGAGTTCTGTTAAATATGTAATGGACAAAATCAGTCAACCAGAATTTATTTAGCAACTGCTGTTGAATTATTAATGAATACAAATTTGCCTTTGAGGATTCAGTTGTTAGTTAATTATATACCTCTTATATGTAGCACTGATGTTAGTAAGTTTATATTGTATTTGCCATGTTGTCAGAGTTTTTTAAAATAATGATAGATACTTTTTTAAAATCCCCCATGGTACAATTATTTTTATGTTAGCTCTAAAGGATCTTCCTGAGATATCCTTCTTGGTATATTTATGTTGGCAGTTTATATAGTTAATCTTACAAAATGTATGTGCTATGCATATTTAGCACAGAATGTCAGTGTTTAGTTTTCTTTTTTTATTTTATTGCTGATCTTATATACACATTATGGCTTTATTTCATACTCAGGATTAAACCCAAGGGCACTTTACAACTTAAATCATTTTGTTCTTTAGTATGTGTGCTGCCAAAGCAAGCAGAGTCATTTTCTTTTTTAATTTTATTGATACTGCTTTGAAAAGAAGCAAAAACAGCATCTGAGCAGAAAAAGGCGGGGACCTGGTCTGTGGAGCAATGTCACCAATACCTAAAATAAAGTCAATAAGAATAGAAAGTAGTAGTCAGGGATTCCTCAGCTAAAAGAATACAAAGATTAGTTATTTTGATTACATGCTTTAAAAATCTTCCTATAAAGACTTACATTGCTTATTTAAAATTTGTAAGTTTTTCTGGAGTACAAAGGTATAATATAGGTTTTCTTGTGAAAAATTAGGTCCAAAATCCAACTAATTACTTTGTTTGACAGGAAGAAAATTTGAATCTTTGGCCATTACATAAGGGGGTTTCTGGGAAAATGCTGCATGATTTATTGTCCTCCAATTATTCTATATTCATAAATAATCTTATTTAAAAACTATGAAATCAAAGTTTCAGTTGCATTTTGATCAAGCTTTTTTTTCATTTTATATTTCAGCTCATCCACAGATGATCATTCAAATTGGTAATTAAAAAACCATTTTAATCTGTTAAGAGGTCATAATAAATGTCAAACTTTTAAAAAAGATTTGGTAAAGATAATAATTTGAATTGGCAATAAAATATCTTCTTTGTCTGAAAAATATCCTAAGGTCCTACTGTGTAGATAATAAGAATGATTTCCAGAATTGAAGATTAAATGAGCAAAGAACACCAAAGGCCTTTGCACAGTAGTTAAATGATTTTATTATGGCACATCTAGTACTTGGTGATTTCCAGCCCAGATTATATTTCATAAATAATTCTTCTGACAAAAATACATTTCCTTAAGTTAAATCAGCCAAATTCATCACGTGACTATGTCATAATGCATGTAAAACTTTGCTTCATAACTTTAAATGTTTTTCAGACATTTTAATGATTTGGTGGATTTAAAATCAGTTTATAATATTATCATGACTAAAATAAGAAAAGGCACAAAACTAATCTTGGGGCTTCTTAAGACATTTATTTAATCCTTTTTGTCTCTTTAACATTTTAGGTTCATTATTGGGTCAAAGACTGATGCTGAGAGGTAAAAAAAAAATTATTTTTTCATCTTTTCATTTTGGGCAGGATAGATATGAAAAACTTTTTTACCTTTATAGGATAGAGGATTTGATCTATATTATGAGTCATAAACTTTTATTTTAGTTATGCCTTTAATTGTTTGACTGTAACATCATTTAATATTTGTGGGCCCCAGATGTAAAATTAGATTATTGAACAATGAAAAGTCTTAAGGTTTTTTTTCTCACTTTAAAATCCTGTGATCCTAGGATCACTGATAAGATGTGGTATATTAGACTATTAAGAATTGTTATTTTTTTGGAGCTGGGGTTATGGCTCAGTGGTGGAGCACTTGCCTGGCATGTGTGAGGCACTGGGTTTGATTCTCAGCACTGCATATAAATTAATGAACAAAATAAAGGCCCATTTAAAAAAAAAATAAAGGAATCTCTTTTTAAAAAAAAAGAATTGTAATTTTTATGGGATGAGATTGCAAGACACAAGTGCTTTTTCCTGATACTTTAAGTGTCTAGGGTGTTTTTCTCATAGAATTAAGAAAATAATTAAAAGAATTATGTTTAAAATATAGGGGCTTTTTGTTTTGTTTTGGGTATTAGGGTTTGAACCCAGGGGCACTTTATCTCAGTCCTTTCTTATTTTTTTCTTTTGAGACAGGATCTGGCTATGTTGCCGAAAATAGCCTTAAACTTGCCATCCTCCTCCCTCAGCCTCATAAACAGTTGAGATTACAGGCATGTACCCCCATGCTCAGCTAGTTTTATTTTAAATTAAAAGAAAAACATATATAATCTGCTATAACTAAGGAAAATGGTTTCTTGATAATACCTTATTTAATCCAAATCTAACAGAAAGGCAAAATGAGTACTTTCTTTACTGCTTATTGGTTAAATTGTCCTTATAATTTCTCTGTTGAAAATATTAATTAGCAAAATATTTTACACATTAACTTTTCATTTAAAAGATTAGAAGAATGCATTTTTAACTCAAAGATAAATTGCCTAATTTTAATTTTTGTGTTCAATTAGGTGGAATATTTTTTTTCCAGTAATAGCATCACTCATTTATTACATAATAAATTTGTGTTAAAAACAGGGTTAGCAGCCAGGTACAGTGGCACACATCTGTAATCCCAGCAGCTCAGGAGGCTGAGACAGGAGAATCACGAGTTTGAGGCTAGCCTCAACAATAGCGAGGCACTAAGCAACTCAGTGAGACCCTGTCTCTCAATTAAAAAAAAAAAAAATAGGGCTGGGGATGTGGGTCAGTGGTCAAGTGCTTCTGAATTCAATCGCTGGGAATCTCCACTCCATTCCCACCCACCCAAAAAACAGGGTTAGCTAAATCCTTACCTATACCTATTTTCTCCTGATATTTCAGAGTTGTTAATCAATATCAGGAATTGATCCAGAATGAAGCTAAATGTCCAGTCAAGATGTCGCACATCTCTAGTGGCTCAGCCAGTCTGAGTCAGCTTTCTCCAGGAAAAGAAACAGAAGTATGTTTGGTTATTGATACTTTTTGTACCTAATTGATTATTAGATCTGAGAAATCTAAAGATCATATTTTGAGGGTTTAGGGGGAGTTTAGTTTTGATTTTACTTTTTTTAATTACTTTTTATGATCAAAGTAGACATAGAGGAAAGTATAATGAACACCTTTGTGCTAATCATCTGGCCTCAACAGTTGTTATTTTCTTAGAAAAATAAAGAGGTTGGAAGTTTTGCCTTTATCTTTCTATTTTACTCTTTCTCAAGACTTTTTCTCATTATTCTATTACTCTGAAGTCTTTACCTCATCCTATATGTGTGCTGTAAAATATTTCATGGATCACATGTAAAATTATATTCCTGTGTAAAAACCTGATGTTAAGTCTGTAACCACTAAGATCACTTTGTAAAGTTGATCAATTGTTTTCATCTTGGAGTATGGTGATAGTAATTCTAATTTTAACAAGTATGTTTGTTGTTGCTCTTGTAGCAGCCTGAGACCGTGTCAGTTCAGTCTTCAGTATTGGGGAAAGGAGTAAAACATCGACCTCCACCCATCAAACTTCCCTCAAGCTCAGGAAATAGTTCATCAGGTATTTAAATTCTTAGTTTTGTATAGTGTAGAGTAGTGGGAAACATACAATTGTAACCTCTTTTGTTAAAAAAAAAAAAAAAACAACTACTTCATACTTTTGTTTCTAAAATTTATGGGGATGGGGCTCAGTGGTAGTGCACTTGTGTGGCATGTGTGAGACACTGGGTTTGATTCTCAGCACCATATATAAATAAATAAAATAAAAATCTATCAACAACTAAAAAATAAAATTTATGCAATTTTGGATTATAATTGTAAGAAATAACTTTTATATCCTTCTTAGGTAATTATTTTACACCACAGCAGGCCAGCAGCTTTCTTAAATCTCCAACTCCTCCTCCATCTTCTAAGCCACCAAGTCTTTCTCGGAAGTCATCCATGGATCTCAGTCAAGTTAGCATGCTTTCTCCAGCTGCCCTGTCACCTGCCAGCTCATCACAAAGTGAGTCATAAACTTAATTCTTCATTAAATTATTATAAGCTTTTGCATTAGTGTTTTAAGACAACTTTTTTCAACCTGTGAAAGTGAAATCTGCATGTACTGTGTATTCAAAATGTATAAGTTGCAAGAAGCATCAGGCAGAGCTCATGTTGATTGTATGTACTGTGTTTTATTGTAATTGTATTTGTTTTTCTGTATCTATGTATGCACTCTGAGTATACTTTCCTTTTAGACTTGCAACCTACACCTCTCCTTAAAAAAATAATCTGGTAGTTACACGTGAGCAATAAGAAACCAAAATATTTTTTATTTCAGTGTACCCTAGGATCATTTTTACATTTTATGTATACTATGTGACTGATACGAAAAAAAAATGTCATTAAGAGTTGTTGCTACAGGTCCTACCTTTGTATATGTAAGAAGCCAACTGGTTTCAAGGTGATGATATAATAAATTGAAAACCAATATTTCAAAAACACTTCTATAATCTTTTATAAATTGTTGTCAGTTACTAAAATGTGATTATCCTGAAGCATTATTCTATAGACATTAAAGTATAATTTTTACTACTGGTTTCTTTTTTTTTTTTTTTTTAACATGAAGAAGAGTTATACAAGAATGTAGGAATTAGTTTTGGAGAATCTCTTCAAATTAATAAATAAGAATGTTTCATGTATCAATTTGGGAAAAAAGCATTCCAGTTTTTTAGATTTTTTAATAGATAATCACGTGCTGAAAGTTTTAGTACACTGCACAGTGATAGGATGGTCTTTGCATTAGATATAAACATCTTCATCTTGATAGCTCAAAAGGTGTCATTTTTCTGCCTTCTTGTTTTGCACAAAGAAAAATATATAAATTTTCTGAAAGTCTATTCACACTACTTATGTTGTGGGTATGGATTATGGTAATCTACTGCACACAGTTGTTACTTTAAGTAAGGGTGGAATGACAGCTTCTGGACATTCACATTTCTTTCCTTTCTTTCTGCAGGACATGAAAGCTAAAAAAGAAAACACCTCAAGAGCTTTTGGTTTTACTTTTTGGTTTTTGTTTTTTGTTTTCATTTTTTTTTAATTGATAAACTGTGCATACTTCATTCACAACAGATTTTCTATACATTCTACATTTAAACAGAAGTATACAGTTACTGTTAAAGATGCAGTATTATCTATCAAATATTTGCTTTGCTACTGTTTTTTGTAAATTTGTTTGTCAGGATAACTTGATGTGTTAGGACTTAAAAATGTATATTTAGGTGCCAAATAAGATTGTTAACCATATGTAATTTATTAAATGTTTATCTCAGACTGTTACACTAAATAAGCAGTATTTTTAAAAGAAGTCTTGAATTAGTGAAATCATAAATAACAAAAATTAATTTGAATTCCTTTTGAACTTTTTAGGCCAAAGGCAGCATGTGGGAAACTAACTTTTAAGTGGGTATTGTGGTAGAACACAAATGTATATTTTTACTGTTACTCTATTAGCATCTCGGATGGGATTTTTAGGTGATATACTGCATCCTTAATTGTAATTGAGTGTAGCAACACTCATGTATCATGTGTAGAAATTAACACTTGCAGTTAACTGCTTAAAAAAAAAAAAAAACTGGAACAAATTGTCAGTGCTAAGTAAGATTCCATTAACCTTATTTTAAAAAGGACTGGCCATTTATAACAAACTAGCAATTTTTATTTTTCTCAATGAGCAGGATCTGGAACTCCTAAGCCATCTACTCCTACACCAACCCCTTCATCGACCCCACACCCTCCTGATGCTCAGAGTTCAACTCCTAGTACCCCTTCAGCCACCCCTACTCCCCAAGATTCAGGCTTCACCCCTCAGCCCACTTTGTTAACTCAGTTTGCTCAGCAGCAAAAGTCTCTGAGCCAGGCAATGCCTGTAACGACCATTCCTCTTTCCACCATGGTAACATCTATAACTACAGGAACCACGGCCACCCAGGTCATGGCAAACACTGCTGGACTTAACTTCATCAATGTAGTGGGCTCTGTTTGGTAAGTTTGCAGTGATGTCCTGATTTCTGTTTTTTCTTTTGTAAAGATAGTCTGACCAATTTAAATTCATATTTGTGAAATTAAGAATAGCGTATTACTCAAACTGAAAGACAATAGCTTAGGTATGGACAGAAGCTGCCTCACATGTATGTTTTCATTTTAGAAATTCCTGTTACCTACATTAAGATATTTCATATTGACAGCAGCCTAGACTTTCATTTTATCCTCTTAACATCTTTTAATCCCTTGCTTAGCACTTTACTTCCCTAAATTATATTTTAAAATCTTGATATATACTCAAAACTTAATTTAGCTGTCACTTTATGTCATTAAGATGACACCAAACCTAGAAACTGAGGTAGAGAAATAACTAGTTGAGTTTGTTTTGTAGTTTGTTGTTTTTTAATCTAAGGAAATATGTGGCTGATTTTTGATTTCTTGTTTACAGTACAAGTTTAATGCTTTGTCTTGTTCTCCTGCAGTGGGGCCCAGGCTTTGATGAGTGGTTCAAACCCCATGCTGGGCTGTAATACTGGTGCCATAACTCCTGCAGGAATAAACCTGAGTGGCCTTCTACCCTCAGGAGGTCTGCTACCAAATGCATTGCCCAGTGCAATGCAGGCAGCTTCTCAAGCAGGTCAGAATATTGGAATAATAACCTCTAAAAAAAAAAAAAATTAAAGTACATGCTAAATTTAACAATGTTATTTTAAGGTTATTACTAAAGACATTTAATGTCATTATTTTGTGACATATTATACCCCAGGTATTTCATTTCAAAAGCCTTTAAAATTATAATAGCTGAATCGAAAACTACTTAACAATAAGCCTCTGTGAAGAAACTTGGTAAACCTGTAAGAAGTCTTTGCACATTATATCTTTTGCTTCCCAAACATTATAATAAAATTAATTTTGCTAGCTTTATTGCTATCAATATAGTCATATTCCAGGGTAAATAAATGTTTTTTAAAAATATATGTTGTTCAAAAGCGTCAACATAGTATGGTAGTTAACAGCCTGTATTCTGGAGCTGGATTGCCTCAGTTTGAAATCAAGTTGGGCAACTTACTGTTGAGTAATCTTGGGAAATTATCCTTGTGCCTCATTTTCCTTCTATGTAAAATGGGGATAGCAATAATTATTTGCTTGGTGGTTGTAAAGATTAAATGAGTTAATAAAGATGAAGTGCTAAAGCTATGTCTGAGACATATGCATTCAAAAATAGTCATCATTTATAGTAGTACTAGTAGTAGTAGTAGTATTCATTGTGGTATTTTTATTGGAGTAGTTGAGGAAATTTAATAAGAAAACAGTGTAGAAAAATTTATCAAAACTTTTGAATTATGAAGAAAGAGAACTCCAAGAATATAGTTTAAACATGTTAACATGATTTCCTAATTCTAGCTTATATTCTTATTTCAAAAAGCACAAATGTGCTCTAGTAGCAAAAGCCCTGGATTCAGAATCAAATCTTGAATTTAGAATATGTATATTGATATGTAATTCTATTAGATGTACTAATTATGCATGGCTCCAATTGCTAAATGTGGGACCTTAGAGAATTCACTTTATTTTTTATTCCTTAGCCTAAGTTTCATCTGCTTTAAAATGGGAGTAAAATTATTTTAACTTCAGTTGGTTTTATTAGAAATAAATGAATTGTGAAACTGCCTTTGGTAAGCTAGAAAGACTATACCAATGTCAGCCACCTTTATGTACCGCATAGCACTGAGAAATTTAAATAGATGCCAGTACCTGAAATGTATTTGCACAACAGTGATAGTTTATTTAATCCATTTCTTTTCACAAGGATTTTTCCTGAAAAGGATAGCCAATTTTATCCTTTTATAATTTGATTATACTTTTTCAGTTACTTACACAATGCTTGATAGTATCATGAATTTCTTGGCTCTCGTCTTTTTTTTAATAAAATTATCAGAGAATAGATAACATTTTTTAATTAGTGTTCAGATTGATGTAGTAAATAAGGGAGAGTATTTTGCTTTTAGCATTGGGGATTGAACCAGGGGCACAACTGTGTTACATCCCTGGGTTTTTAAATTTTTTTATTTTGAGACAGGGTCTCACTAAGTTGCTGAGAGTCTCAATAATATACTGAATCTAACCTAGAACTTATAATCCTCCTGCTTCCACCTGCTGAGTCTTTAGGATTATGAATATGTACCACTGCACCAGGCTAAGATGTGCTCTATGTTATGTCCCTGATTTTGAGGAATAAATTCAGAATTAACAGAGCATTGTTTCCTGACAGTTAAGTTTTGATCCTTAACAAATAGTCAGCATTCTTTAGCATTCTGATTATTTGCTTTTGTACTTCAGTTTTCAGAGATAAGATTATTATAATATATACACATTACGTGTTACTGAAAAATGTAAATAGATGCCAGTAACTGAAATATATTTGCACAACAGTGATAGTTTTGTATTGATGGTGTCCCCATAATTCAGGATTACTGTTGTTCAGCCATCAGTCAGAATAGTGAAAAAGAAGTCTGTTTCTGAAATATAGAATATAATGTACATCCTATATTCCACATCTTTGAATAAAATGTTAGTTTTGAAATTTTGAAGAAAATGTGCTTTTTTGATTTTAAGATATTTTTAGAAGTATGGAAAATAAGAGTATCATGGAGAAAGGATATTAAATGTTTGTCTTTACTGATGTATAGATTATTTTCATAGGTAATAAAATTTTAATTCCATTTTAACCATGAGTTTTATTTAACAGGTGTTCCATTTGGTTTAAAAAATACTTCAAGTCTCAGGCCTTTAAATCTACTCCAGGTAAAACTGAAGCATCATTTTTTATTAAAGTTTATATACTTTGTTTTTTTATATGATCTACCTATTAGCATTTGAAATTTTGAGGTCTCTTCAGAATCTTCTAAAGCTATGGCTATTGCTACCTTTGTGTAGTCAGGTGAATAAGGAGAAAGAATCAGCACTTTTTAGACACCACTTCCCTTGACTCCAGCAGCCCTGCCTTATCTAGAACTATCTGTTTGAATGGAGAGAGTTTACATTTACCCGGGAATGCACTTATTTATGACAATGGTAGTAGATAACTTACTAATTTCTCTCTCAACAGATAATTTATGTATACATATATTATACTGTTTGCTTACAATAGTTTGTGCTTGAATGGAGATTTTAAAAATGGATATGTATTCTTTTCCTAAGGAAAGTATGATTTCTCAATGCAGTGGCAATTACCTTATTGGTCATTCTGTAAACAAACATTTGTTGTGTTATAATATGTATCTAATGATGAAGCTTTGCCTTTCTTGTACATGTTGTTGTGTCAGCATATTCATAAAGAAAGGTAGAATATAAAGAGTTTAGTACACATTGTGGACTTGAAATATTCCAGGTCTTATGCTATGTCTTTTAATTTAAAGAAGGAGTCAGATATAAGCTAGTGGTTTGGAAAATGGATAAGATTATCTATGGAGAATTTAAAGGAAGACCTGAATATGAAGATCTGATATATGAAGTGGCATAGCTGTGGATTATTGGAAAATAACAACCAACCTGGTATTTAGGAATAACAAATTTGGAAATTTGTTTAGAAGTTAAAACGTAAAACTTAGTTCTTAAAAATTACGTAGTGGCAATATTGGCAGTCTGTAATTGTAGAATGGTATACTTACAATATGGAGAAGACTACATATCATATTGGTTTATTTCTTGTGTGTGTGCATGGTGTGTGTGCATGTGTGTGTTGCTTCAGATTGAACCCATGGACCCATGGCCTTGCACAGCTAGTCAGGCACTCTACCAGTAAGCTACAGCTCCCATATTGGTTTATTCCTACACCATATTGCTTTTGAAATTCTCTTGGGGACTTTCTCCCACCTTTTTTTTTTTTTTTTTTTGGTACTGGGTATTGAACCCAAGGGCACTTAACCACTGAGCCACATCTCCAGCCCTTTTCTTTTTTAATTTTTATTTTGAGACAGAGTCTTGCTAAATTGCTTTGGGCCTCAAGAATCCTGCCTAATCCTCCTGAGTCGCTGGGATTACAGGCATACCCGCTGCACCCAGCTACTTTTTTCCGCTTTTAAGAGGAGTGAGGAAATCCTTTATAACAAGAACAGAGCCACTTTATCAGGTCATATTTTTTTCCTCCATTTACTAATTGGGGAAGGAACATTCAGCTATGCTGAATACCTATGCTATGTGTCATTTTACCTACCAGTGATCTGTGCTAGATGTAGGTTTTTTGACTAAAGGATTTTTCTTTTTTTATTTTGGTCCCAACTGTATAAACCTAAGTGTTCTGTAGCTAGAATTTCCTTTGAGTTTATTCTGAGGACCTCAATGTTTATAGCTTAAACCCTTACACAGCATAAAATGGAAACTTTATTTCTGGTACACTTGGAAAGCATCGCTTTAATTTTTAATCTGGAGTTTTCTGAATGTTTCTTAATTTTTATTTAAATTAATTTAGGTTTGGAGTGTGAGAGCAAGGAATAGTCTCTATGCAAATTATGGACATCTAATACATTTTATTTTCAACTCCAGAAGTCCTCACTATGTTATATTAAAATCCATGTATTTTTGTTTTTTTGGCAAAGCTAGAACAGATTTGAGTTGGGTTGTCAATATACATTTCTTATTCACAACTTTTTTCTAATGCATTTAATGCTTTTTGGTATTGATACGACTGAAGAGTTAAATTTAGCTAACTATTAACTTGAAGCACAAGGATTTGTGTTTAGAAGTGTGAATGTATTTGGGACCCCAAAGTAATAGTACTTAAAAATTACTTTTAAACAGACTTTTCTTATGAACAGTCAATTTGTTCTGTTTTTCTTTTTGTTCACTTCTGTTTCTTCAGTGCCTAGAAGAGTGCCTGACATAGTAAATGCTCCAGAATTATCTTTGAAATAAAGAAATACAAATATTTCACAGAAAAACAATGTCAAACTGGCTAATAAATTCTTGTTTAAATTCTGAATAGCTTCCTGGTGGTTCACTCATTTTTAACACCCTGCAGCAGCAGCAGCAGCAGCAACAACAGCTCTCACAGTTTGCACCACAACAACCTCAGCAGCCCGCAACTTCTAGCCCTCAGCAGCCAGGAGAACAGGTATGGGTGTTTCAGCCTTCCCTATGTTTAATTTGTCAGTACTAGCTATCAGTCAGTTTGTGTGTACCTTTTTTTTTTTCCTTAGTGGTACTGAGGAAGAAACCCAGGGCCTTATGCATGCTAGGCAAGCACTCTACCATGGAGCTATATCAGGGTGCATATTTCTGATAGAAAAGCTATGGTAAATAAAACATGTCTCTGTCTTACACAGGAATCAGGTTCAGAAAACAGATCACATAAAGCCGTACACTGAATGGCAGAACGAGGTCTTTTTGCCCCTGTACCCCATGTATTTTCTGCTCAGTCATTGCCCTCTGTGGGATTTTGTTGCTGTTGGAATAGAGTTATTTCTATTGTCATGAAGTGTAGAGCAGTGTGAATACAGGCAGATACACATATTGAACACTGCCAAATAGAAATTGATTAGAACAGCGGTAATTAAAGTAGAGGAAGAAGTACATGTGTTTCTGAACCTTGGCTACACTTTGGAATCATCTGGGAAACTAAAGTACTGATTTCTTCCTGGTCTCACCTCCAGAGTTTCTGTTAGCTCACAAAAATGTTCATCAGTCCATTGGCACAAGTCTTCCTAAGTTATCTTGGTTGAATAAAGTTCATTCTCTAGTAGATTCCTCAGAAAAGACACATTTAAAACTATTTTTATTCTTTGTACATTAAGAATTCTGTAGCTGATAAAATCCTTAATTTGCTTTCTTTCATTTTGTTTATTTTTAACTGAAAAAATACACATAACATAAAAATTTGCTGTTTTAACCATTTTTAAGTGGCAGTATAGTAAGTAGCGTTATGCATTTAACATTATTGTGCAGTAGATTTGTAGAATTTTTTCATGTAGTAAAACTGAAACTATATATCCAATAAATAACTACTTCCTGTTTTCTCCTCCTCTTAACCTCTGGCAACTACTGTTCTACTTTTTTCAGTGAATTTAACTACTATAGTTACTGCATATATGTGAAATCATAACATGTCTTTAAAGATATCATTCTTTGGGATATGTACCCAGAAGTTATCTTGCTGGATCTTATTGGTCATTTTGTTTTTACTTTTTTGAGAAGCACCATATCGTTTTTCCATAGTAGCTGCACCATTTTACAGTTTTACTTACAGTGTATAGAGTTGCATTTTGTTCAAATCCTCACTGGTATTTATATTTTCTGATGTTTTGTTTATTTATAGTACTGGAGATCAGACCCAGGACCTTGAGCATGTTAAGTGTGCATTAAGCTACACTCCTGCGCCACCCCCCTCGTTTTTTTTTTTGTTGTTTTTTTTTTTGTTTTTTTTTTGTTTTGCTGTTTTTAATAGCAGCCATCCTCATAAGTGTGAAGTGGTAATCTTATTGGTCTTCATTTGTATTTCCTTAGTGATTAATGATGTGGTGATCATTTTTATATGTTCTTTGGGGAAATGTCTATTCAGATCATTTTGCAATTTTTTAAATTAGGTTATTGGGGTTTTATTGTTTTTCTTAAGTTGTAGAAGTTCGGTATACATTCTTTATATACACATATCAGATAATATAACTTCCAAATATTTTTTGTATTTTTCCCATCTCCTCAGAGTTAACTTATTTCATTTGTGGGTTGCTTTTTCAGTCCTCTGATTATATTCTTTGCACACAAGTTTTTTGATGTGGGCCATTTTATTTATTTTTACTTTCTTTGCCTGTGTTTTAGGGTCTTGTTGAAGAAATCATAATCATTTCCAAATCCATTGTCATGATGCTTGTCCCCTGTTTTTCACTAAGACCTCTGTATAGTTGTAGGTCTCTTAAAAATTGTTGAGAGTGCGTACCATTGACTTGCTTTTGTATGTATTGGAAGTCTGATGTCAGCCTAATTATCTTGCTTTTTTAAGTGTATTTAACTGTTCATGTCAGCTAGAGGCCCCAAAAGGTTTGTTTGTTTTTTCCTTCAAGATCAAATATTTTCATTATGATATGTGTCAGAATGAGTCTTTTCTAGGTCTTTCCTGTAGAGCCTATTGTGTAGGTTCAGGTTTCTTTATTTCCTGAACATTTTATTGGATCATGGATTTCTGATTTCTTATAGTGGAATCTTATATTATTGGCTTTAGGTTCCATTCTTTCCTAAAATAAAAATTTAATTTTATGCATTTACTTTTCAGTAATTCTTAAGCTGCTTTCTATAATTTTTGATACATTATGTCTTCATCGTCATTGCCTAGAAGGGTCTGTCATTATATATTCCTCCTAAATGGGCTTTAAAGATATCTTTGATTTCTAAATGTGTGTGAATTTTCTAGATTATTTTTCTGTAACTGATTTCTAGTTTAAATCCACTACCATCTGAAAATGTCTTTTAAGTTTGTTGAGGTTTGTTATATGATCTAGAATACAGCCTGTCTTGATTAACATTCCACATATAGTTGAAAAAAATTTGTGTCACACATTAGTGATGTTCTTTATTAGAGCATTTGGTGATAGTGTTCTGGTCCTGTATCCTTACTGATTTTTTTTTCCTATGTATTCTATGAATCACTGAAAGAAGTCTTCAACCCAAACAATGGAAATTTCTCTTTCTCCTTTTGGTTCTTCTATCAGCTTTTGCAAAAGTTTTTTTTTTTTTAAAGCTGTTTTGTTAGGTGTGTATACATTTAGGACTGTTATGTACTTGATGTATCCATCAGTTAATAAATGGCCTCTTTTAACTCTGGACTTATTAATATTTTTTGCTTTCTCTTAAGATTATGATAGTATATTAAGTATGTCTTTTTCTTTTAATTATTTCCCAAGTGTTTTTATTTGTATTTTTGTTTGTTATTCAGTGTGTTTAGTCATTATTGTGCCTTTTTTTTTTTATTTTTTGTATTTCCATTTGGTATTTTATAATGTTCTTTAGTTTTGTGGGCTGTTTTTAGTGGGAGATTTGTCCCAGCTATAGTTCTTTCATTTTGGGTTTTTCTTTTGTTTTATAATGGTTCTATTCTGAAATTGATGTAGTTTGCATTTTATATTGTTCATTTCCTAAATTGGATTCCAAGTTCAGGAGTGTCTTCTTAACATCAGTTCCATGCTTATCTGTGTAATTTCTTTATCTAACAAAAACCACTCAAGTAATTTTTGAAATGTCTAGCTTTTATTTTAAACTAAAATGTTATTTCACACACTTATTTGGGGTGGTAGCAAAGGTTGTACTTTGCAGAGTGAGTTTTTAACTTAATCACATCCAAGTTAATTTCTTTATATAATGTCCTATGGGTGTCATGATTGAGAACTCTTAACTTTAGCGATGTGTCTCTTAAGATTTTCTCCTGCTTTCTTCTAACAATTTTGCAGTTTTCTATTTTAAATCTGTGACCTGTTTCTTAGTTAATTTTTGTGTAAGGTCTGTGACTTAGGTCTAGGAATTTTGGCTGTGAATATTCAGTTGCACTGTTATCATTTGTTGAAAAGCTATCCTTCCTCAGTTGAATTACTTTCGCACCTTTGTTATTTGACTGTGAATCTGTTCCTGGATTTTTCGTTCTGTTCCATTGATCTGTGGTCTACCCCTCAGCCAAAATCTTACTGTCTTGATCTCTGTGCACTCTGTCATAAGTCTTAAATCAGGCAGAGTGGTTCCTCCCACTTTATTCTTTTTTATAAAATTGTTGCTAATCTAGGTTCTTTTCCATACAGATTCTAGAATCAGCTTGCCTATATTTACAAAAACCTTTTTGGGGTCTTTAAAGGAATTGAATAATTTTTTTAAAAAATATTTAATTTTTAGCTGGACATAATACCTGTATTTTTATGTGGTGCTGAGGATCAAACCCAGGGCTTTGCACATGCTAGACGAGTGCTCTACCACTGAGCCACAACCCCAGCCCCAGGAATTGAGTAATTTTTGAAGGAATTGATAAACTATCAATCTCTTTCAGGAAGAATTGCCTTTTTTGTTTTGCAAGTCTTACAATCAATGAACACAGACACACTATGTAGGACGAAATCAACATTTGAAGTTTTTAATGTATATATTTTGTATATATTTCATTAGATATACATTTATATGTAAGTTTTTTTATTCTGTCTGTGCTATTATTTTCAGTTTCCATGTTTACTACTAGTATGCAGTATTGATTTTTTTTTAATATTGACCTGTATTTTGCATTCTTACTTAAACTATTTTAATAGCTTTTTGCATTTTCCTTGGTATATCCTACATAAATGTTCATACTATTTGCATATAGGGACTTTTTTTTCCATTACGTTCTGTATGCCTTTTATTTCCTTTCTGCTAGCTAAGAAGTTTTGGTATTAGGTTGCAAGGGGTATTTTAAGCTTTAACCAATTGCTTTAGTGAAGCTTTGTAAAAGTCTTACGGCAACAGTGAGACCCTGTCTTCTTTTTAAAAATCTTAATTATTAAAATGGCATCAAACAATTAGCATTGATTCAGTTTTGAAAAAGTTTCATTTCCTCTCTTTCAAATCTTGCTAATTCTGTTTACTTTGTATGGATGTGTAGTACTGGGGATTGAATTCAGGGGTACTACTCTACCACTGAGCCGAATTCTAGTCCTTTTTTATTTGGAGACTAGGTCTCACTAAGTTGCCAAGTTACCTGGACTGGTTTTGCATTTCTGATCCTCTTGCCTCAGCCTCCCAAGAATTGGGATTACCAGTGTCTGCTACCATGCCCAACCTAATTCTATATACTCTTAGTCTTTCCAATGTTATTTTTTAAAATAGAATTAATCTATTTTTTTCTCATACAGGAAAGAAACTAATTTCTTTTCACCAGCTCAGTATTGTTTTTCCTTTGTATAAGTTATTATTTTTTAAATTCAGGGCTCTGAACAAGGTTCATCTAGTCAAGAACAGGCCTTATCTGCTCAGCAAGCTGCTGTTATTAACCTTACTGGAGTAGGAAGTTTTATGCAGTCACAGGCAGCTGGTAGGTATCTTTACATGCTGAATTTACTAAAAGTATCTAATCTATTAGAGATCTCACCACTTAAAATTCTTTTATTTTCCTTCTTTGCAAGGTATGATTAGAAAAAGTAAAGCTATATTTAATTTGTGAACTATTAAACAAATTAACTGGTGGCTGGCTGAAGTTTTTTTTTTTTTTAATTTTTTATTTTTGTGTGTTTGTTTGTGTTAATTCAGTACTTAAAAGAGCTGTGACTCACATGTAGTTAGAGCAGTTGTGTTTTCCTTATGTTAGTTTGTTGACAAAATTTTATCATGTATCCAAATCATGTTTTCCGTGTTTCCAAGCAATTAATTCTAACTCTTTGATATTTAGGACTACTTTCTCCTAGAATGCATAATCTTTTGTCTCATTCTGATAGTTTGTGGTTGCATGACTTAAATCTTAACCATAGCATAACTTCTGTAAGCCACTTTTATCATTTGTTAAAAAAAATAATAAAAGAATTAAACTGAGAGACTACTCAGTGCTTCCAGCAATAAATAGTAAAATGAAAATAATGAATATTATCTTAACAATTGACAATAATTCTAATTTCACATTATTTAAAACACTAAGTCATGTGCATAAGAAAACTCTGAAAAAGTTTGAAAATTTAATGAATGCATTGTCAATATTTTCTCACCTGTGGGCTTACTATAATGTCTGTAGATTTTTATACAGCACTCTCCCCCGCCCGCCTTTATTATTTTGGTAATACTGGGAATTGGACCCAGTAGCACACCACCTCTGAACTATATCCCTACCTAGTCATTTTTATTTGAGACATGGTCTCACAAAATTGTCAGGCTGACAAATGAAAATCCTTCTGCCTCAGCTTTCCAAGTTGCTGGAATTACTGGCCTGCACCACCATGCCTGACTATAACTCCCAGTTTCTGAATTTCAAAGTCCTTTAGGATGGAATAATCAAGGTCTTTGTTTTGAAGGTAATTAATTCATACGTAAAGTTTCCAAGTAGAAGTTTATAATTTTATATCTTTACCACACAAAGTTATAAATTTTCTAAAATAGCTGTAGTGTAATTAGTAGAAATAAGTCATGTGAAAAATCATAAAGTGTTTCCGACTCCAGACTTGGCAATAATTACTTTGAGTTAAACTATGTAGGCCTTCCTTAAATCTTCTCATCTGTACAGGGAAGTGTTGAACTGATTACTCTGGTCCCAGTCAAATATAGTTTGTAGCCATCATTAAGCAAATAGTCTCACATTCATTACATCCTTTATTTAAAGCATTTGTCTACCAGCTTTATCCTTAGTTTGGATTTCTTTCATCTCCTTTTTCCTATTTCATTGGGTATATTTAAAAAATACTCTATTTTATATGGTACAAAATACTTCTATAAAATAGCACCAGTATCAAATTACATTGAGATGCAAGAGAGTGGAACGTGCTTTGGCACACATGTACTCCCTTACCTTTCTTTGTCCAGAAAGTTGTATAATTGGTGATATCCTCAACTAACAAGAGACTAAATTTATTCTGAAATGTCTGTGATTTGATACTTAAGATTAATCATACTGCTAACTTTTCTATTATTTCATTTCCTGTGTTGTCCTTTTCTAACTCTGGTAGCCTTCAAACTTTTTGACTGGCCTGCTTTCCCCTTCTCCTCTCTGTAGTGTTGTCTCAGCTTGGCTCTGCCGAGAACAGACCTGAGCAAAGCCTTCCTCAGCAGAGATTCCAGCTCTCCTCTGCCTTTCAACAGCAGCAGCAACAGATACAAGTAATCCAGCAACTTCACTCTGATACATTTTTTGATACTCAGATCCAAAAGTACCTCAAAATATCTTGCTTTAATTTCACTGTCTCTTAAGACTGTAATTGGTAAATAATTTAGTAAACTTTTATTGAAAGTCTTAACATTTTAGCCAGTCAACTTGGAGCACTGGATGTATTTTTGTACATTTAAGCCATACTCTTCCTAATTTAAAATTTTATTGACATGCTGGTGGCACCTTACCATATATTTTTTTCATTTGTAGTATATTTTGAAATAGTTTTAAGTGCCAATTGTTAACTTTCTGATATTGTACTGCAGAAAAGTGTTCCTATTAGTCAATGTCATACCTGTTTATTTAGAAAAATGTTATTAATTTAGGAAGGAAAATCAGCATATTAGAGTTGACAATCTTCATATTCAGGGTGGTTTCATATTGCTATAAACTATCATTATAAAACAAAATGGTAATTGAAGTTGCTGAGTTACTGCATTATAGACTGGCAGGGCAAAGTAATCCTTAAGTTTGCCAAGAGTTATTTTTAAAGCCCTCAGCAGGCTTCTGTGCCACTGGTGCTGTCTGACTGTGCATTGTCTCAATGTGTTATAGTCCCTTTTTGTTATCTTGGTGCTTTCTCCCTTTCAGTTGTGTTGTTTTCATCACTCTCAGAAAAAGCACCTTTCCATACCTGTCTGCTTTAACATAACTTGATTTTTTTCTTTCCTTTTGCAGCAGTTGCGATTCTTGCAGCATCAAATGGCTATGGCAGCAGCAGCAGCACAAACAGCTCAGCTACATCATCATCGGCATACAGGCAGCCAGTCAAAAAATAAAATGAAGAGAAGCACACCAACCACTCCAAAATTATGAGTTATTTTTTCTTTTTTAAAAACACAACAGCATTGAATCAAAATAATTGTTTCTACTTCATTTTTTAAAATGTGTCAGTATTTTACATTGTTAGATGTACAAACTTTATACAGAAGCACAACCCTATGATTTTTAAATAAAAATGGGGAAATGGCTTAAGGAACCAGGGTTGGTTTGCCTAAGTCATTGCTTTTTAAAAATGGTTTCACTGTACATAATATATATGGAAGTGGCCTAAGAAATACTAGAAACATCTTTCAGAAGAATGTAGTTTGATATTTATTTAGTATAAAAAGTTTGTGCACAGTGTAACAATATAGTTTTTACAAATCTGTTCGGAATATGTGACTTTTTATTTGGGTTTCATACTATTAATTACTTCATCCATGAGTTTTTTTACTTCTTTGTGTCTTGTAACTGCACGGCTCATACAGTCCTGAAGTTTAGCTCCAGTGAGTCCACTTCCACCTGAAAAATTATTGTGCCAACAATTATAATTACTCAGTTATTTTTATAAAACATGAAGTTCATAGCAAATTATAAAAGTAATAGGATAATGTTAATTATGGTCTCAAGACGTGCAAGTTATGTTTTAACATGACCTCCAAGAGATTCTGATCTACAACATAAGTTGTAAGAAATGTAAGAACTGCCATATACAATACATAAGTGTAAGGAACTTGAAGTAGCAAAGAAACTAGTAACCTTACTTTAGGTAAATAATAAAATATCCCTCATTCCACTTTGCCCACCTTAATAAAGTTTACATATGTTTAGGACTTGAAGGGATAGGAACATGCCTGGTTTATGAAGACAACAGAGTCTGCCTTCCTCATCCATTACTATTGTTAAGGTTCCTGTTGCCAGATGCTCCTCTTCTCCAGTAGGGTCAACTATCAGCAAAGTGCTATTTTAAAAAGAAGGGGGAAAAAAAAGTGGGTTATCCCATAACAAATGTTACTGTACTTTATTTCTTTAAATTGAACCCATGGCAATATACCACTAAGCTAAATCCCTAGTTCTTTTTGTTTTTAGACAGGGTCTCACTATGTCATTGAACCAGGCCTCAAAAACTCGCAGTCTACTTGGCCTCAGCATCCTGAATCACTGGGATTACAGGCATGTATCAACCCAGCCAACTGTTTCTTTAAAAGAACATTAAACATACTATTTGCCTTTTTAGCTCAGGTATAAAAAGAGCTAGAATAGAACTGGTAAGAAACCAAAAAATTAAGTAGTAACTTAAAATCCAATACTTGAAAAAAATTCTTTGCTGTTCAATTTTTTAATGTATTCAAATCCTTGGCAAATACTAAAGACATCATAGAGAACATACATGAAGCAAGTGGAAGGAGTGACTACAAATAATTTTGCAGGGATTCAAACTGCCCAGGGCAAAATAGGGTGTTATGGCCACCACAGAAATTTTTTGAGAGAAAGCTGAAAATAACAAGCCATTTCCTTAACACTGAATATAGACAATTTTTAAAATACATTAACTTACTCGCCAGGCACAGTGGCACATGTCTGTAATCCCAGCAACTTAGTCTGAGGCAGGAAGATTGCAAGTTCCAAGCCAGCCTGAGCAACTTAGCAACATCCTGTCTCAAATAAAAAGTAAAAAGGGCAAGGGGTGTAGCTCAGTGGTAAAGCTCCCCTCATTTAATCCCTGATACCAAAATAATAACTTACTCATCAAACACAGCAAAGGTAGTTGCCACAGGGTGAGTTCTAATATTCAAATAACTTTTCTTCTTTAAATTAACTTCTGCTAAAGCAGTTTCTTCATTTATAGTAACTTCAGGCAACTGTACTAAAGAAAAGAGAAACTTGTAAAGTCAGTCTCTACTTTTGAGTTAATTTTTTCTTCTATTTAATTTGACCAGAACATTAATAATCTTATTAGTGGAGATGAATATTGTTCAAAAACATCTGATGTTCCCGCCTCTTATTTAAAAAAAAAATTAAGAAATGTCTAGTCACTTTCTACATGCTAGATACTATTTTAAGCATTTTCTCTGTATTCATTTAGTCAACATTTCACAAAAAGTATTTTCTCCCTTTTATTAAACATGCAGAAGTTTCAGCTCAGAGTGGTAAAGCCAGAACTCAAATTTAAGTCCTATATTAAATTTGCTATATTGTAATATTACTATATTATCTTCTTCCTCTAATTATCTGTTATCAATTCAGTAATGCAATGATAGAGGATATGCCAAGATATTAAAATCCTGACGACTCACTACCTAGATTCCTTACTAAGAAACTTTACAGTTAAAGGTTATATTTATGGCCTCAGAGTAAAAACCAACAGAATCCATCATATCCCTTCTGACAAAGAACTTAAAAAATACTTGTTGACCTAAACTGTGGTTACAACTATCATTTCCTCAATTTTCATTAATTTTAGAACACACGAATAACTAAACATTAGAAATCTTTGAAAGTTTATTGAGCCATATATAAAATGTTTTCACAAAATAGAATTTTGACCCCATTAATAGAAATACTAATTTTTATTATGGTTGCTTACCATTTTTTAAAGCTGCTAATAAAGCAAATGTGCAGGCATCCAAAATGTTTCCATCATAGTCAAGGCAAATGAGATCACAGTATAGAACCCAAGCAAGCTAAAAATGGTTTACACAAAAAAGAAATCTTACTGTGGACAGAAAATAGTATTTGATTGGATTTAAAAATCACAGAACCCTTTGTTAAATAAACAAGATAAACTTCAAGGCTCAAAAACTTAAAAGTTTGACCTTTATAAAGAGGAAACAAAAAGAAAGTGAAAATTTTTTTGATCACCAACCTGATAAGTGAGAAACATCTCCATTCCCCTCAAGGGAGATATAGATGAAGAAATCTCCATTCTTATTGCTAGGTTAACAGATGAGGGAAGTACTTTAGAAAGGCCTATCTGAAACTCAAAAATGTACTTTCCCACAGATATTTCAATATAGGAAATGTTTAGGTTTTAAAATGTTAACTGTATGTAATCCAAGAGGAAAATCTCTCTAGGTCCTCTTCAGCCTAGTGTTAAGTGTTCAGACTTTTGGTATCCACCATGTACATTCACCTTTAAACACATTAGCACAATCAAAAATTAATCAGTTAAAAAAATAAAAGATGACTACATTTTTCTTCAAAAATTAAGGGAAGGAAATGAGCTTTAAAGAGCTGATAGGCAATCCAACTTGTTTTTTTATGAATAACAATTTATTTTGATAATTACAGAATAAGACTGAGTAGGCTATCAGGATTTCTTCTAATTGCCCTCTTTGCTGTATCCCCACAAACCCTTCTGAATTAATATAAGTTCATTGCTTCTCTATACATCTTACCTTTCCTGAAGAAATGCACAAGTCCTCTTTCTGAATTATCTGTGAACTTGATTTAATGACAAATAGCACAGTAAATGAAAGGTCAAAAACGTTGAAAATGAATGACAGTAAAATTTTATCAATAGTCTTACTTTTCAATGACATCTGCAATGAACTGGCTAGCTACTTGGGCCTCTTCTCCAGGAGGTCCAGACCGAAATCTCGATGAACACAGGGGTGGTAGATCCACATTAGGAACTGTTTAAAGAAACACTCTGCAGCTTTGTAAGACTCTCAGGGTTAAAAAGAAATTATTTCCCTGATGTTTTTTCCAGCTTTTTAAAATTTTTTAAACATCCATGTTAGGACACAATCATCCTAATAAATCCTTCACCAAAATTTTCCTGGTTTATTTCAAAATGAACTGTTTACACCCAACTTTTTCTTTTGTTATGCTGGGGATTGAACCCAATGCATTGCTCATGTTTGGCAAGCACTTTTTTTTTCCCCCAATGTTGGCTCCTACCATAAAGAACAGATCATCCAAGACAACAACAAAAACAAGTATTAGGGAAAACAAAGTTTGTAATGACAGCCCTCTGACTAAAAAAATTCCGTTTCCTTTGTTGATGACACGTGAATATATGAACAATAAATAACCAAGTTTGACAAAAAGTTAAATTTCAAAGCTGACTTTGACACAGAAAACTTTTTGAGAATATGCTTTACTCCTTGTATTTCTGAATGTTAGGAATTGCCGTCTAAAGCAACTACTAGGACTTATCAAGAATTGTTAGTATTAAATGTGTTAAACTATTTATATTAAAATTATAAAATCACTGAACTTACCAACATATCCTTTATCAGGGGCATCTGTTGGTGGTGCTGCAAATTCCTATACAAGCAAATAAATGTTTTCTATTGAAAGAAGATACTAAAAAATTGTGAAGACGGTTTACTATACACTTATGAAAAGCTCTACTAAAAACAAGCTTAGCTAATTGTCAGATCATAAGCATCTACTATGTCTGAGGAATTGTGTCAGAGGGTCTAAGAATGTTAGCACCAATCCTTACAATCCCTCTGTGAGGTAAAAAGGAATAAAGTACAGAATATTACCTAGGGATCTTTTCAAAAAGATTAATTGGGTTTCTGCCCCACCCTTCTACTCATTCAGTAGGCAAGAATCTAAATTATTCCTCAGATGATACTAACAGCCAGATTTAGGCACCACTAGCATACAGGTCAAGAACCAAAGCTCTTAAATCACTAACCCAGTTTGAATGTCAGACCACACTTACTGAGAGATTTAATAGTGCCTACTTTTAGGGTTGTTCATGATGATCAAATAAAATAAGGCCATTAAATCCCTAGCATAAAACCTGGTAAGAAATAAAAGCTCAAATCTTGAAAATTTCACCCCAACTTTACCAAAGAAGAAAATCAGGTTAAGTAACAGGTTGTAATAAGTTAAAAAGCAAAGACTTTAGAATCGGATTTACACCTCAAGTTATATTTATGAGCCTTGTGTGTCCGGACAAGTTACTGAACCACATGTTAAAACAGGAAATGGAAACTAGATAATTTTGTACCCAACCTAATAAGGTACCTGAAACCTTAGGTACTCAGTTAATTCCCTCAAACTTTTCTTTTGAACAATCTCAAGTGTCTGCACATTTACAAACATTATTACTGGCTAAGAAGGCATCACCCTATTAGTTTCTCAAATGATACAACCAAATTCTTTTAAAACTTAGTTGTGATGAGGATTATGTTTTACTGTGGCCATTTTTCAAATATTCATGAATCATAAGCTATTAAGATAATAAGGGTCATATTATCTAAAACATGGGTAAAAACTCCTAGGATACTTAATACAAAAAAATTAACAGATGACTGTAATCAATAGCAGAATTACAAATGTATAATACTATCTAATAATTATATGAAGCTGATTTAGTATGTCAAATGTCAATAAGACATATTAAACCTACCGCTTTAACTCCACAAACTACTGTAGTGTTCCCCAGCTTCACTAAAGCAGAACCATCTGCTGTACTAATTGAACCTGAAAACATAAGTACAGTATTTAAGCAAAATGAAATGTCCTTAAAGGGAAAACAACTATAGCATTATCTATACAATAAACTGTGTTTCTAATACATGACTATTTTGCAACATATTTCAGTTACCTAATGTTTTAAGATTTCCCTGTCCTTGAATTTATGTTAGTAATTTTTATTCAGTCACAGGGCTATTGTACAGATAGAAATCTCTTTACAGAATATCCTCAAATCCCATATACATAGTACAATCTAACTTGGAAAAAAAAAAAAAAGAACTTTGGAATGCCATACAAGCTGAAATAAAAATAGACCCTCACCTATGTTGACAGTTGTGGTTCTGAATTCACCAAGTTCTCTTCCATCAGGACGACAGTTTTCTTTCTAAATGTTTTTTTCAGGAAAATAGATTACATGTGTATTTTACATATAACAAGAGAAACATATTAAACCTCATTAATTCAAATTAATTAAATGAATCTGTCTTTAAAAGAAGCATGATATTGTTATCAAACACTTTACTAAAAGGAGTAACATGTGCATCACCACTTTACTCACCAAAAATCTCCTGTAATACTCCATAGGTTCCACAGTTCTGAAATGTATTACAAATATTACTATTGTAAGTTAATGACACTTTACATAAATCCAAAATCTAGCAGATTTTAAGTGATGTGCAGCACATCACCACAATCTGTAACTTTTTTTCACGAATTCTGATGATTGTTAACACCTATAAGTAATTACTGAAAGTAGATACCCTTGCAGTAGCAATCACATTCCACTATTGTCCTTAACTCTCAATCATAGGATTGCAATCCAAAACCCTTTGAGACATCTTTAAAAGAGGATTAATCCGGTCGTTAAAATAATCATGTCATTCTTGCTCTAAAGGGGGGATTCTTAACCTAGTGATCATGAGAAAGGATCTTTACATTTACTACACTGAAATTTAGCATATTATTCCACTATAGCTACAAAGTAATAAACCTTGAATAGCAGTACCTGCAACTTCAATATCTACCGAGATCATAAATGTTTTCGTTTTTGTACTTGTGGGAGATAAACATAAGTTCACGGTTACTTTGAAATTGCCAACACTACACTCGCCATTACTTTTTTTTTGTTCAAGGTTTATAACCCGAGTACAAAAATAACTATTTCAGCATCACTGGTTCCAAATAAGATTTGGAATCTTTATTTCGCTCATTTAAAAACTTTTGACAGTCCACAGGCTTCACCAGAGTGGCACCAAGAGTGAAATCTTCCGAGGGAGGCACAATTCTTTTAGAAATAAATTACGGGAGGTGGGGAGCCGGGCAGCACGTGGCTTAAAGGGTTACAGCCGCACCTCCCTGGACTGTGCGCTCACTAGGCACCAGGTTTCTAGCGCGCGGTGGGGACCGGGCTCTACAGAAACCCTCTACTCCGTCCCACGTTGGGGGAGAAGCGCCTCTCCTGGCACTGCGACTACCGCCGGGTCCCCCTCCCGTCGCCTAGGAAAGGAGCGAGACCCAGACGGAGTCGGCCTCCAGGACAGAGCACCGAACTAAGGGTTAAGGGAAGCCGCCATCCGCCTGGAAGCACCGCTAGGGCCCGCCGGCCGCCAACACTCACTTGAACCCGGCCGCCATCTTCCCGTTCGCGCGCCTGCGCCTGCGCGGACCTCCCGCCCTCGCCAGCTCCGCGGTCGCACTTTCGACGCGAGCTCCCTGGCACTCCCGCGGCGGGAGACTCGGAAGGCTGGACTCCGCGAAGCTGGTCCTGGTGGCGCTCCGCACCGCCCTACCCTAGCGAGAGCCTTTCTAGGTTTTCTTGCCTGTGGCGTATTTTTAGCGAATCTGCTATTAGACCAGTGTCCCTCTTTAGAAAAAGGTTTGTAGTTCAGAATAAAGCCAACAATTTAAAAGAAAACCGAGTTTATAGCAAAGAAGTCTGTAGATATGAAACATCATTCCAATGTTTCTACTTCCATTTCCCGTCGGTCTTAGGCTGGCCCCTGGGATGGCCTCTCCCCAGGTAACGGGCTCTCCGCTCCAGCACCTGAGAAATGTGAACTTTTCACTTTCTCAGCGGTTGACTGCCGTGACAAGGCTTTCAGCTCCTTCCTAGGCAGGATTACTAGGTAAAATACTGGACACCTGGCCAGATGGGAATGCCTTGTGTGTAAGGAAAGAAACGAATGAGGAAATAAAGAGGAGAGACAGCTCAATAGTGACACCGGTTTATTCGGGACAAACCAGCGAAGGGGCCCAGCGGAGACTGAGACCTGTCTTCCACTTACAGCCTGGAGTAGATATAGGGGCATGAGAGAGTGGGGGGAGTTTTGCAATTAGGGGATTGTCAATGAAAGGTTCTTTGGGTTGTCCCCTCTATTCTTTGAGGTGGTCACTATTCCATGTCCATCCAGGTGTTTTTAGTATTTCAGTCCCAGACAACAATTTCCTTTATTTGTATGATGATGAAGTTTTGTTTGGGTTTCTTTGCATGATGATGTATTGTCTGGGGTTTAAAATCAGGCTGAGTCAGAGTGACTGTGAGGTGGCTCTTGTGCTAAGATGGAGGATATATTTCAAAACGGTGTTTACTGTATCTAGTTCTACCTAACATTATGAACAGTATTTTTTTTTTAATATGAGTATACCCCCCAAATAGTGCATGTTATTAGTTGCTACCAGTGCTGGGAATGGGGGAGCAGGGAAAGTTTGAGTGGTGGTGAATGCACAGCATTGTGTATTATACATTTAAAATGGTGAGTACTCAAATTTGTACTATAGAGCAAAGTATGTGCACGTACTAATGAGGCTTAATGAGTCCTACTATTATGTTTAATCACAGTGCACTGCACCAATAAAAGTTGTGAAAATTAATGTAACAAACCAAATATTTAAATATGTGAGCTGTATAATATATGAAATATATCTCACTAAGGATGTTTTAAAAAATTAGTTGTATTGTTGTTTATCTGAAACGCAAATTAGGTAGGCTTTTTGCATTTTACTTGCTAATCTGGAAAGCGAGCTGCTTGTTCTTCGCTTGACCGCGCGGGGACGCTGTGAACAGCGCTGGCTCCAGGGTCGCGGCTGAGATTGGTCGCGCGGGGGCGCTGTGGGCGGCGGGCGCCCGGCCCGGCCGGCGCGTCCTCCTCGGCGGCGGAAGGCGGAACTCCTCGAGCGCTTCCGCGTGTGTGTAGGTGCTGGATAGGGCGGGAGGTGGCGGCTCGGCATGGAGAATGGCTCCGCTCCTGCTGCAGCTGGCGGTGCTCTGCGTGGCGCTGGCGGCCGCAGCCCTCATACTGGTGAGCACCGGGTTGGGGACCGGCGCGACCTGAATTCACGCCCTCCCGGAGGCTGCGGCTCCCAGGCGTCTCCTACTCAGCGCTGCCGGTTCCTGGACGTGTCCCTTTTCACCCTGCTTTCCCCCCAACTCCTCCACGGTTCCTCTCCAGGATTTTCACCCCACCCCTCTTTTTAATACTTTTTATTTATCTTTACTTACTTAAGACTCTTTATTTATTTGGAATAATATTTGCCTGTGTGCCCGGAGCCTCGGGACGCGCCCACTCAGCCCGGTCAGCCCAGACCGCTGCCTTGGCCCTCTCTCACCCGGCCTGTCAGCCCAGACCTCTCCAAGGCCTTTCCCCCAGCCTGGAGTCTCTGCAGTTCGGCCCCACCTGGGGAGGTCTTCAACCCCCAGAAGGGTGCCATATGTTAAGGATTGGAATGATTCGATGGATCAAGAAGAACCTCTGGGAAAGCAGAGTGAGCAAGAGAAACAGGCCTTGTCTTCTCCTCTTCTGGCTATGGGTCCTTAGGTCCCAGAATTAGACACTTCAGATTTGCTGCCTGTGTAAACAGCAGAGCAATAGAATTCAAACCAAGATTTCCTCTGCCATTAATCTGGAAGTATAAAAACATTGTAAACACTTGCTGATCTATAGAACAGAATACTTGCCAAGTGAACTCTCTTCCACATAATTTGGAATGAGCCTACCATCTAGTTAGTAAACGGAGAGTATTTCAGCATCCTTGGCATTCAGATCAGCTGCCTAGACAGCAATGCCAGGAAGGCCACTTTGCCATCTTCCCCAGAGGGTTGTAAATTTACAACTTAGGAACATACTAATTTTGAGACAGCGTCTGAGACGTCTGAGACACTGAGGCTCTTGCAGCCGGCCTCAGCCTCCTGCGTTGCTGGGATTGCAGATGTGTATCATACATGGCTGTTCTTTGTATTGTTGATGACTGCCATTCTAACTGGAGTGAGATAAAATCTCAATGTAGTTTTGATTTGCATTTCCCTAATTACTAAAGATATTTAACTTTTTATATATTTGTTGGCCATTTGTATTTCTCCTTTTTAAAAAAATTTTTTTTAGTTATTGATGGACCTTTATTTTTTATTTATATATAGTGCTGAGATTCAAACCCAGTGCCTCACAAATTCTAGGCAAGCACTCTGCCACTGAGCCACAACCCCAGCTCTGTGTTTCTTCTTTTGAGAGATGTCTGTTTAGTTCATTTACCCATTTATTAATTGGGTTTTTGTTTTATTGGTGCTAGGTTATTGTAGTTCTTCATATATTCTGGATATTAAATCTGTGTTGGAAGAGTAGCCAGCAAAGGTTTTCTCCTAGTCTATAAGTTCTTTCTTCACACTCTTGTTTCCTTTCTGTGCAGAAGCTTTTTAATTTGATATTATCCCAGTTTACCTCCTTTCTTAATTATTTTAAACAAGCCCAAGATAATATTATCTATAATCCTCAACATTAATTTCTATAAGAGCCTTCTTTTTATTTTTGTTACTGGGGATTGAACCCAAGGGTGCTTTACCACCAAGGGACATTCTAAGTCTTTTTTTATTTTTTATTTAGAGACAGGGACTTTCTCAGTTGCTGAGGGTCTCACTAAGTTACCGAGACTGTCCTCAAGTTTGCAATCCTCCTGCTTTAACCTCCCTAGTTGCTGGGATTACAGACATGTGCCTCCCACTGTGCCCAGCTAAGAGCCTCCTTTAAAAAAAAAAAAAAATGTTATTGCAATTAGGTGATCACCAATTTTTTTTAACAATTATTTCATTATTTCAAATACCCTATTAATTCAAATGCCCTCTGTTGTCCCATATATGTTTCATTATAAATGTCTCAGTTCTGATCGGTATTCAACAAGGGCCATACATGGCACTTGACTGATGTTGCAAGGCTTTTTACCTACCAACAGTTTCTACTCCTTTAAAAAATTTTTCTTACTTTCATTGCTTTTTCTGTAGAACTTTTCATAGTATGGATTTCACTGATTGCATCCTCTTGGTGCCTTTTAATATCTTCCTGTGGCTACCGAATTTCCTGTGAACTGTTAGTTGGAATCTAGAGAACTGATCAAATGCATGTTAGAGTTTTTCAACCAAGAAAAGTGTGTGAGTGATGCTTACTACTTCCCCTGTTTCAGAGGCATATGATAGTTAGTTGTCTCTGGTGTTTAAAAAAAAAAAAAATAGTGTGTTCAGTTGTTGCTAATTAGGCCCTCCAGTTAAGAAATTTGTCATCAGTCTAATAATGGGTTTAGTGGTCATTTGTGATCATTATCTAAATGCTTTATTTCACTGTGAGTTGCAAAGTAGAATACTCTAATTGTATCATTCTTTATTGATTACCTAGAATTTTATAATGAAAAGAATCTCATCCTCAGCTAGTTTTCCTGAAATCATTTTTATATATAAAAGACAAAGTTTTAAAAATTATGAGATGGTTTCCTGGCATCTTAAAGGTGACCAGTTTTTATTTTTAGTTTTATTAGGGTTCATGATTTTTAAAAATTATCATGTGTTTTAATCTATTATAATTATTATCCTTTTCGATACTGAAATCCTCCCCTGACAGGCTAGTGGGAGGCCCTTCAAGTTGACTGACTCCTTTGTCCTTTTGGCAAAGCCCTTATAATCATTGATAGTCTTTGATTTTTGGCATGAGGTGTTATTCTACAGTTGTATATTTCCTGTCCCAGATCTGATCAACCATTCTTTTTAGGAGCACTAGTTACTTTTAGTGAGAAAGTAAATTTAGAAATTGCAATCATGGCATTAGGGTACAAAGCAGGAACATTTTTTAAAAATATTTTTTAGTGATAGACACAGTACCATTTATTTATGTATTTAAAATATTTTTATTAATTGTTGATGAATTTTTAAATTTTATTTATTTATCGGTATGTAGTTCTGAGAATCGAACCCAGTGCCTCACACGTGCTAGACAAGCTCTCTACCACTGAGCCATGATCTTAGCCCCCAAAGCAGGAACTCTTAACCATTAGTTTGGCAACTGTCCCTTTTCTTATTCTAATCAGAAGTATATTCAGTTTCAGTATGTACCTACTTCTGTGTCATAAGTGATCATCAAAGTGCAAATGAGTAGAATTCCAAAAATGTATAGATCAATTGTTTTGAAAGCAGAAAATATACCAGTAGAAGCAATGTTATAAAAGTGGTTTATTTCCAAAGCTTGCTCCCTTTCTGGGCATGGTGGCCTGTGCCTGGAATCCCAGCACTACCCTCAGCAATTCAGCAAGACTTTGTCTCAAATAATAAAAAGAGCTGGGGATGGGTGACTTGGTGGTTCAATCCCTAGTACAAAAAAAAAAAAAGAGAGAGAAAGAACCAAAGCTAGCTCCCAAGTGCATGTGACAGAGAGTCT